CAAACAGCTAGACATGAATCTCTAATCTGTCTTTACTCCTGACCCTAAACTCAGAATGCGCAAGGTAATGTGCAACACAGGCAAAAATTGTCAACACGTCGTCGTCGTCAGACTTCGTTGTCTTGCTCAAACTCTCTAATATTAAATTTAGTACTGTGTATGGCACAAAGCCGCAAACATATAGCAAACGTATAGACCATCACATAGAGTCAGGTTTAAAACTATCATTAATAAACACAATTAAAACAGACAAAATGTTAACAGGCATCATAGTTTTTTAAAAGAGGAAAGTTGGACTAGGTCAGGTCGTTCGGAAACCTGAAACCAATAATTGTTTGTTTGGCCCAAGTTATTTGAATGCTACTTAAAATATGAATGCTGCATAAATATTGTTCCAGTACTGTGCATCTTTAAGGAAACTTACCGAGCAGGAGTAAATAGTTAGGATCACAGAGTCTTGGATATCTGATATCTGTCTACAAAACATAACACAATATTACATCACTTGTATTAAATTGTTATCAACAACTTTTTTATTTATATTTTCCTAGATATTCTGATTTTCTAGTTCCCCAAAGAAGTGCAGACCTGTCAGCCCCAGAGAGGCAAAAATCGCGAGTTGTACTTTGCAAAGGCGTAATATTTTGTGAAAAAATGCGAGATTTCAGAATCTTTATATAGCTCGATTTTTTAAAATCATGAATGTCAGAATGTCTCTGCTAAACATATTCTTCAAATGTACTGTGTTTAATTTTGGAAGTCTTGGAACGAAATTCAATGTCATGATCATTTCATTGGGCACTGAGTGCAATGTTTCTACAAAAAATTGAAAACAAGGGTTGTATTAGCTACCTATTACAAGCCTATAAATATAGTTCGAACAGATTTCCTAAAAAATCGTGAGATTTAAAGACTTTGTCGCGAGGCCAAGAGAAAGCATTAAAAATCGTGGGTCTCACAACAAAACCATGCGAGTTGGCAGGTCTGGAAGTGTTAATTGAAGATCCGGGCTTACTATTAGAACCACTGCTAAATTATAAGTAAACACGGACATATGTACATGGTGTTTTACAAAAACGGAAAAACCAACACAATTAGATAATTTAAATTTATCGCCAGGGAAATCGAGATTTAAATACTAAAACATTTACCTAAACTAACGGCAATTTATCTATACAAGTAATTCACATAGTTTTACTGAATACGGTTATATTAATAAAATCTAGTTCAAAATATTGAAAATATAGTTTCAGACAGTCGCATGTTTACCAGTCGATTATACAATAATTAAAGGCTTAGACATTAAAAGTTTACAATAAACCAATGATAATTTATCCAGCTAAGTAATCTACAAAGTTTTATTGAATATGATTGTAAACCTGGTTCAAAATGTTGAAAATATCGGTAGAATTCCATAAAACAACCCCTTCTCCGTCCGCCATATTGTTTTCAAGTGGTTACTATGGTTTCAACGCTGAGCCTGCGGAGAAAATGTACATCATAACTACTTCATTTAATAAATTTGCTTTGGCAATCTAATTTGGGAACAAAGTAGCCTTTCTCACGATTACGAATATCCGCCATTTTTGGGTGGCAACAAATTCTCGTTAACCAATGCAGACAATTAAAACAATGTGAAAATCAACTAACCATTTACAAAGCAAATTTACCATCATTCTTCCAAAAAATTATAAAAAGTCGCTGTTATGTGGACTTTTCTCGCAGATTTCGGCTGAAAAGCCACCCAAAAATGGAGGCGTGCACGTGAGAATGGCTAATTTCCTGATATTTCCAGATAATTCGTCTTTCTCGATGGTTGTTCAAATGTTGTTGCCTATATTAAACCACGCACGCAAAAGTTATCCCATCCACAGGCAGAGTGACGTTGCAGCTATTTATAGCATAAATAGTCGTTAAATATAGATTTTATGTCAAATAATTGCTAGAATATTGTCTTTTAAATTGAGAAAATTAATTTATCTTTTCTATACACGCGTAAAACATCTCTCATCTTGTAACAAATCTGCCAACAAGCCGTCAACAAGTTGTGTTCGCACTGTTTGTCCCAAGTTGTCAACAAGTTTGGAACAAGCTGTTATTAACATCTTGTAACAACCTTGTTGATATTATCAGGCTTGTCGCAAGGTTGTTCCCACAAGTCCGATACAATTTTGAGGAAACCATTCTGTCAGGCTAGAATTCATATCAGCCGAACAAACTGATGGACGGGCTTTTGTTCGTCTAGACGACTTGTCCGTCTCTAATGTGTAAACAGGGCTATTCATTATTTAACAATATTGTTACAATCTTATGTCGTCAACCTTGTAACATTTTGGTTATATCATGATTGTATCATACTTGTTAGAACAACCTTGTAACAAGTCTGATAATACCATCAAGCTTGTTACAAGTTGTTAACATCTTCGGTTCCAAACTTGTTACAACAACTAGGAACAAGCAGTACGAACACAACTTGTCGACAGCTTGTGAACAAAATTTGTAACAACTTGTGCGTTCTAGGAGAAGGTGTACTTGTCTTTATGTGTTAGTTTGGATGTGATAGTTGAGCACGTCTTCGCTTAATATTTGAAGTATTAATACACAGTGTCCCAAACGCAACGTGATTCTGGACCACCTGTATCCCAGCACGTATTTTTTACGCACATGACTAAAGTTCCGAATATAACACCTTTTAATCCCGTTAAGTGATTATTTGGTCCATGCAAGGTCACGAGTATTTGCAATGAAACGTGTTGAATATCTAACATATTTTTGGCCTACCGCGTACTTCCCAAATTTGTTTTGGCTTTGTTTTCTTGTCTGTACAGTTATGTACATGAATAATGAAAAAGTCTCAATTAAAATAAAATTTTGCTTGTGTAGCTTTGAGCGCCTGTCACGGAAGATGCAACAAACTTCTCTTAATAAGATTAAGGATTGTTCCAGCGCTATATACCGCCGCTATCACTTCAGTAATACAGCCAATTATTGTAAAAAATACATTTGTTTTCATAATTTATCCGGAACCAAATTGGGGTGGGCGGAAGTTCATTTAAAAATCTTTTCCCTTCTTGCGGTGGTGAGATACCGCAGCATTCATACAGAACGTGTCACAGATTTCCTATGTTTAATTTGTAATTGTAGACCTACCAATTTTCAGGCATGTTGTAAAACACGGCTGGACTGGTCCGAACTGGGAAAACGCGGACTCAGTCCGCGATTTATAAAACGCAGACTCAATTTATAAAACATGGACTTAGTCCGCGATTTGTAAAACACAGGTTTTTCTGTTATATCGTTGTCAAACTTGTCATGTGTTTTTACCCTCTTTAAATAAATTTGTTCATTCGTTCATTCATTCAGTCCGCAATTTGTAGAACGCGGACTGAGACCGTGATTTTCAGTTAAAAGCGGTCAAAATTTTCGACTTTGTTTGATATACAAATGTGACTTGAATGACGTCACACTGTATAATGAGTTTTTAGAAAGAAAACGTTTCCATGCCAAACTCATATGATAATTCCATTGACATTGAAAGTTATATACTTTAAGAGCTATCAAAGCGATCATTTCGTCTGTTAATTTGAGAGAATGAGAATTTTAACAAGCTACAACACAGTCTTCTGTAAAACGCATTATGCAGTGTGACGTTATTTAAGTCACATTTGTAAATCAAACAAAGTCGAAAATCTTGGCATACAGGAAAGATTATAAAGTTTTAGAAAACAACTTATATTATGATTTTAAATGAACTTTGCAATTCAATCATAAAAAAATTGTCGCATAGGCACTTTAATTCTCACGCAAAGTCTTGAAGTTGAAATCTTACGATTTGTGAGGAAATCTTATAACAGGTAATACAATTACAACCATAGATTTTTCACTGGTTTTATAGAAGCACCTCAAGCTAAATTCGAGCTAAATAATGAACGGACTTTTGATGCATTTAATTCGATAATAATGAGTAAACTTGGGAGCTTTCCAAAACGCACGGCACATTTTTTTCAAAAAATCTCACGACTTTCTAAAATGACGTGAACGCGGAGAATCGATTTTTTTCGATGTCCCAAAGAACATGTGTCAATGGATGTCGTTGGCGAGCCAATTAAATACATAAAACGTCATTTGCATTGCGAATTTGTCGCTAAAAAATGAACCGGCTTTGGACACCGCATTAGGTTTTTTTCCCGTGTGACGTCATTTGGAAAGGTCTATTAGTGCCCTCTTGTTTAATTTGCCTGGAAAGATTTAAACTTGAACTTAACGATAGCAGTGCTACTCAATGTATTATGTAAACTGCGGCTTTATCAGATATAAAACACGAGTGTCGAACAGTACACGAGTGTTTCAAATGGCTTGAAAAACGACCCATCTGATGAGTTCATTGGCGAAGTAATTTTAAAAATAAACGTTCTCTAAGCCGAGAAAATCAAAGCTAAAGTTTATGTAAATGAACGTGATTTTATCACATATGAAACCACAGACACGCGGTATAGTGATTTCCTGAATTATTATCGAGTTTATTCAATTTTATTAAAGATTTAACAGCTTTATTTGGCACACATGCAAATAGTCATACAGCATAACTAGCAGCACAAACTAACAGAAGAATAACAATAGAGTTTTTATGTCTGATTAATGGACAAACATACGAATGCTAATTAAAATATGTATAATTAATTTTCATGGCAACATTTTGCACTGACTTACCATTTATATTGTTTTTCGTATTGTTTCCTTCACCAAACAGCAAACTAGAAAATATACAGCAAACTAGAAACAAAGAAAAAATTTAGGGACTGGTCATAAAGGACTGGTCATCTGGTAGGGTGGGCTGGAGGTAAATCACAAATTTTGCCAATAAGTTTGGTGACCCATCTTAGGATGTAGATAAAAATTTCAAAGCCCATCTAATCTTACCAAATTTATTTCATGACCCACCCACCCGATCTAAATTGGGAAAATACACTTTTATAATAAAAAAAAACTTGCAGGCATGAACATTGTAAATATACACCGGCACTGTATTGACATACATAATTCTACCAAGCCATAGACCAACACATTCATCACCAATTACGATACTGAGCTGCTCTCCAGTTGGTTGTACTTGCTGTGATTCGTCCACTTCTTGTTGTTGTATAAAACAAAGTACTGGCTTCAATAGCATCATTTGCATTTGATAAGTTGAATAGTTTTGTTTACTTTTATTATTAATATCTTTATATAATATATAATTAACATGGGTTTTTGTTTGGTGGCCCAACCGTGGACATACAAAACAATTGGAGCTCATCGAAACTGCCCAAAGAACTTCCATGGCCCATCCCAAATCACTCCAGCTCACCCTAGCAGTTAAAAAAATCAAAATTTAAAATTGAAAAATCAAAATTTAAAATTGAAAGATTTGTAGAAAAATCCTATATCCACTAGCTCGGATGTTAATTTTGCATTGTCATTATACAAATGGCCTAATTACTAGTTACGTTGTCCCGCTTTAAACAAATAAGGAAGTATCAACGGCAATTTTACACTGCATGAATGAAATTTCAGGCATTCCAGAGATAGTATAGAGGTTGTCACGTTCGATAACGTTCTACGGAAACCAGTGCAATCGTGCATGTTCATTCACGCAAAGTGTTCCCGTATTATATTTTTGGTGTGCGGAACATACTTAACTTGTTCCGTTTCAGTATAAATTAGCCTAAGTTCTATTTCAAAACCGACGAGCATAGATGAGTTGAATGATCCGAGTAAACACGCCCTTCGTCGGAACATTCTTATTCATCCACTTGTTCAAGTGCATTCCTAGGAGTCTTTTAAAGGACTTTTCTCTTTATTTTATTCTGTTTATTTGCCTTATTTGTATAACTATACATCGGTAATTATAAGGTTGTTTATATGCTAATTTTTGGCGTTTTGAAACACAGTATAGTTCAACGTTCAAACATCAACAGCACAGTCATTATTGCACGTAAATTGAAGTGTTATATATCAAAATCTAAGTTAGTCCTTTCTGAATGCAATGAACTTTATTTCATTGCGATAGCTTTCATAGCTTTTTCGTTACATGAAATCACACAGAGTCCATGTTTTTTTGGGGACACCCAATACATGAGTGAACAACTGTTACACATAATTCTACAGCTTAGTTATTTTTGTTCTGTTCTATGCTTTTAAAAACTAGAACTATAGGCATTTAAGTCATCTAAAGATGTAAACAACGTTAGCCAAATTTGTCTCATTATTTTCTCTGGCACTCTGATAATTGCAGGTTGACCAGCTCGAAGCGTCCAAGTCTGATATACATGTATACTATACATTACTTGTAATTCACTTAAAGTTCAAGTCCTGCATGCATGTATTTTTACTTGAGAAGATATTTAGCAGTGTGAAAAAAAAAAACAATTTAAAACCGGATATTTTCAAGCAAAATATTCTTATTATAAAAGTCCTCGAACGGAACAATTCGAGTATATACGTTAAGTATAATTTGGCCAAACCACACCTATAATGCAGGGCGATAAAATATCTTGTAAACCTTCCGATGACTCATCATATGCATTGGAATTCCGGATACGGAATACCACTACTAAAATGATATATAAACCCTGCGAACACTTTAGCATTTTAAAGCAACAGATAACCTGTACAGGAATTTTATAGTAGAAATTAAATTAAACTCAGTTTTGCTCAGTTTTTCAGATGGAAAGATCACTGATGAAGAAAATCATTGTTCCAGTCTTTCTGCTCTGTTGCATTTTTGCTCAACATGAAGGTACAGACTTTATTCTTCAGTAATTTTTTGATGGTTTAGAATTTATATTTTCAATCGTATTTCAGGTTTTTAATAATCAAGGTTACGTTTACATCATACAAGATATATAGCTTTTCAAAGCGACGCGAAAAAGCACTGTACAACTTTTCAGAAGCGTGAGCAAAACAACATCTCTCCGTTGCATGCAATAATTCCTCTAAAAACAGTGTTCATAAAAGGTACGGATATAAGTGTCCGATAGAGTGAAACCGTATGGCCTAGGTTCTCTTATTTAAAGTTCCAAGTCGAATTATAATTTATAGTTTATTGTTGGTTTCACTAAGTGCTAGAGGAGATGTTGGCACTTATAGAGAGCAAGCAAATTAGACAGGATCGACAAAGAATTGATAAAAAAATTCTCAATATGGCGACGAACTGAAGAAGTCGAAAGACGAAACACGTATTTTTACAGTCACATAGCTCGTTTTTAATTAGGATTTAAATCATTTTTCAAATGTTCAACGACTAGTATTTTTAATTAATCGTTTCATCGAGTGTAGAAAGCCAAACATATCAAACAATTTGTAGAATTGAACATGAAAAAATTGAAAGAACATCCCTATAAAGAATATTCCTTCTGACTCGGAGACGACTCAAGGCTATAGTTTCCACTCAGGAAAATTATCCGTGGATTGGAACGGACAAGATAATATTTCTTTGTGTTAAAATAATTAGTTCCAACCCAGAGCTCACAAGACAAAGAAAAACTTTCTTGTCCGTTCCAATGCACGGATAATTTTCCTGAGTGGAAACTAGCCTTCACACACGATCGAACTTGGGCAAAGAAAACTGAGATACTTCGTCTGATTACTGTGGACATATACGAATCACACGAACTGATCGTCCATGAAGGCCGATTTTTCACTTGAGAAATCTTTGCTGCGATTTCTAGTATGATTTTAATTTCTCCTGATGATGAATATGAAAAAGCGGTTAGTCGAAAATATTCTCAGTATATGTATTCCCTCATGTAAACGTTCAGAACTCATTCACACCCATCGGACGAAAAAGAAAGTCTCGCCTAAAATTCGCAGCAAAAATTTCGAAGTGTGAACCAGTGAGCTCAATATATTTCTGGAGCAAGAACTTCAGTCATTCGGTCAGCGAGAAAGGTGAATCCAAGATGGCGGCCATTGATATATAAATATCTCTGAAGGTCGTAAACACAGTTTTAATACCATTTCCTCCCAGCTAATTCCAGGTTTTTTTTATCTCTAAACAAGTTATCGATGTCAAAACACAAAATTTCGGTACATTTCTTGCCAGCTTCGTGTTAACCGCGCAGACAAAACGATAGAAACGAAAGCGCCTGGAACTGACGTTCTATAGCTATTCAATATCCGCCATCTTGGCTCGAGTTCTCGCTGCAAATGTAAACTTTAGAAACCATTATCATTTATTTAAATCAATTTATTGGACTGTATCTAAGCGGTAAAAGAGCGAATGGGATCCAAAGTCCCATGCGAGGCACTCGCCCGTTACAAACTATATAAACATTTCTTAAAATCTTGATTTACATTTTAAGAAGAGATTTTTTTGTATGTTATGTAACACGCGCTTAAAACTAATGAGTGTGATATACCACTTGCTGTTATGACTACACATCCAGAATTTTTATTTTTCGATACGTTTCTCAATTAGCAAACAAACTTAAAAAGTATGTTTAGTGCTTTATCTGTACAATCATGCTAAAATGAAGAGATTTTAGATGGCACGCCAAAGAGAAAATGATATCTGAAGTTCAGCAAGTTTGGCTTATATTGCTGTAAATATGGCGTCACTTTTAAAGCGTCATTGATGATTGTATTTTAATTGACAATTTTTGCTATTATTTTATGTTTCTCAACCGGCAAATGCATTAAAAAAGGTAGCTAAATGTATAAGCTAGAGAATAAAGCTAAAACAAAGCAATTTTGAGAGGTACGGTTTTGAACAGTTTTTATCGCAAATACGTGACATTGAAAAAAAATTGCCTCTTAATAATAACTGTGAAAACAACATATACTACCATTTGCAAGCAACCGCAAAAACCAAACTTTTTTTCACGTTTGTTTACGTTTCAAACGTACACGATGGGCGGGTAAACGTGCAAGTTGAAACGTAACAACAATTAGTTTGAACCGCGAAATAGTGACGTTCGACAAATCTCGTGCAACGTAAATGCTCGAATAAGAGTTATTGGCTTTAGTATTAAATGAGAATCAAAACTGTTTTCAATTAAGAATGTGAAAGAATATTGAAAGTGAAACACAAGCAATATGCATATGTTCTCTTCCAAACTATAATTCATATGACATGAACAGGTTCGATGTAATATGACCAAGTAGAGATCATACTACATCAAAAATAGTAGTATTGAATTACTTACTTGAACTCTGCAGCTTCGCGTGAAATACGAAAGAGGATTGTTAGAATTACGTCTGAGGACCACACTTCTCCAAGCAACCTATAAAAAAAAATAATTTTCTGTTATGCTTGTTGCAATTCTTATTCTACCTCCTTTGATTAAAACTTTCCTTTTTCCAGGAACATTTGTGCCAAAGACAACATTTCTGGAACTGCTCACAGCTGGAGATTTGTCAGCGCATTTTGCCCAGCAGACAATTAATGTTAATTGGTGTCTCTTTCCAAGCGTGCCAGTGAAGATCACGTCAGCATACATCAGAATTAACAATAACCAAAATGTGAGACTAATGCAAACCTTCTCAAACCTATATTCGATAACACTAAAATGTTCTACACAAGTAAAAACGCACACGTAACTGTCAACAATGCTCAATGCTCCGTCCTGACCGCGTAGCTCAGTTGGCAGAGCATTGGGCTAGTATTCCAAAGGTCGTAGGTTCGATTCCCACCGTGGCCGGGCATATTTTTCAAGCTCGCCCGGTGTGGATATACACTCAGAGTACACCACAAGCATAATTTCAATTTTGTTAGTATCTCTTAAATTCACTTTTCGATTTTCACTACTAGCTAGTTGTGTAAAAATCTGGAAGATACCCTCGGCACACTCAGCCAAAATTGACCTTCTGAGCCCAAATTTCTCAAAAATGTCCCTCCATCCCCACCCTTGTTCACTCGCCTCGTTCAACTGCAAATTAGTTTCGGCTACTATAGCAAAAAGAGTAAATACACAAGCATGGAACACTAACCACGACACTTTCAAACATTTACAGCGTGCAGTAAAGAAATACTTTGAAGTGGAAGATCATACAGAATGTAAATACGGGTGGCCAAATAGCCCTAAAGATCTCGACGGCGCCAGAGAGAGGTACATTTCTGCAGTGAAAATCACGGATCAGGAATTTTGGAGTAATAGAAGAAGAGTTGATCGAAGTATGACATATAGAAACTAAACTAACTTTATTTAAGTTCTTTGTATGTTTGCATGGTGATGAAATATAAATTTACGTGGTGTTTCCACAAACAAAACTATTATAACTTTATTTATATTAGATAGCTCTGTCAGTTCTAAACTGTTCTTCCTAGTAAGAATCATCCCTTATTGATCCAGTGTTATTACAGGGGAAAACCTAAACGAAACTAACTTTATACCAGTATCTAAATTTATACCAGTATCTATCAGTTCTAAACTGTTCTCCGTAGAGGTTCAGTAAGAGTCATCTCTTATTGATCCAGTGTTACTACAGGAGAAAACCTGAACGAAATTAACAACAGACATCATATTTTTGTCGGCCCAACATTGAACTGGGGCATTACGCCTTTCAAATTATGTGAAATTACAGCACCTGTCCCATAGTTTTTAGCAAATATCGTAGAATAAAATTAATTTATTTTTTACCTTTCTACTATTCTAGTTCGGTGTCACAGTGGTCCATATAAATTCCAACAATGGCTTGGTTTGAACTACACCGTTCCTTGGGTGGAAATTATGAGGTGTCCAACTCCACATACTGAATGCATCATTACACACAACACAATCATCGCTGTCCAACGAGAAAAAATCTATAATGGAGGAAACGAAACTATTATGATTGATAATTCTACCAAGTGTAAACATAAAATGCTGTTATAGCTATTATTAAAAATATTGCTATTATTAATGTATAGCTATTATAGCTATATTATTAAATGGTATAGCTATTATTAAAAATATTAATATTATTTAAGACTTTTGAACAGTATTCTAATATTTTTATATAATTATGCAAGCGTGTAAATGTACAGCAATTATTATTATTTATATTATTATTAAACACCTTTGATAAATATTGTTAAATTATTTTCGTATATGTAGTTAATGTAAGCACGTCATCTACATATTTCAAATGTATAGCAATTATTATTATTATTAATTTTTGTATTTAATGTATATATGCTGTAATTTTATTATGCGTATATATCGTTATTATTATTATTATTAAAGACTTTTGAAAGAAAATGGGGTTGCTCACTGATCTGAAACTTGGACTGCCAATAGCGAAGATGACTGGAAAAAATTTTGAAAATCCATAGAAGGTCATAGAATGGAAATTGTATGGACCTTTATTGGAAATAGAATGGATTTTGGTTATCCATAATAATTGTATATTTCCCATAGTATGGATATAGTATGGAAATAGGATGGATATACTATGGATTTAGTGGTGCAATTGCAAATTTCGTAGTATGGATTTCACTTTTTTTTCCAGTGGATTCTTGTGTAGATGGAAATTCTCGAGTGGAAATTTATATACATTTATTAGACCTAACCAGAAACAGCTGTGAAAAATGCAACTTTATTCCTGGAAGGAATCGAAACTGCGATTCCGGTGCAGTGCTCTAACCAACTGAGCTACAGAGTTGTCGAGCTCTAACCACAAGTTCATGTATAAATACTAGGGTACTGCCATGTCTAGGTTATGGGTAAATATCAAGATTTTGTTGGCATTTCACTCGAATGAATAATAGTTGAAGGGTAGTCTTGTAGATGGAAATTATCAAGTGGAAATTTATACACATTTTGATGTTTGCGATGTTACTGTAGTGTACATCCACACCGGGCAAGCTGAAAAGTTTGCTTGACCACGGTGGGAATCGAACATCACAAACATCATATTCACCTGAGTACACAACACCAACACAAAAATGTTATATACATTCATTAGACCTAACCAGGTCTAATAAATGCAAATAATGCAATTAACGTTAGGTCCCTGCCCAGGAATCGTATTATCTGAACAGACTGAATTGGTCATCAGTTATCACAGTTGCCTTTCTTTCATCTTAAGATCCGATGGTGGTCACAGCATCGAGTCTTATTAGCGAAGTTAAGCAAAGCTTAAACCAGTATGGGGATTTGACAAGAAACAGCCTTGAATTTTACACTTCAAAAACTATAAACTATCGATATTAAGAACCTTAAGCAAGGAGGACGCAATGACATCCACGACGGCAATTATTCTGAATGACAATCATAATATTGTAGAAAAGAAATGATTAATTAAAATGTCATAAAAGTACTAGATGTCACAACATTAAGCTGGTGACGAGAGCCAACACAAACGCCAACCACACACGTATAAATCTCACATCTTGTAACAGGTTTGTCAAACAAGCCGTCAACAAGTTGTGTGTTCGCACTGCTTGTCAGAAGTTGTTAACAAGTTTGGAACAAGCTGTTAACAATTTGTAACAACCTAGTTGATATTATCAGGCTTGTTACAAGGTTGTTCCAACAAGTCCGATACAGTCATGATATAGCAGTATTGTTACAACCTTGTGTCGTCAACCTTGTAACATTCTTGCTTATCATGACTGTATCAAACTTGTTAGAACAACCTTGTGACAAGTCTGATGATGCAATCAAGCTTGTTACAACTTGTTAACAGCTTGTTCCAAACTTGTTACAACAACTGGGAACAAGCAGTGCGAACACAACTTGTTGACATATACCCGTCACGTTTTAGGAAGAGTTACTATTTTTAGATTTTTGTAATTTTGTATTCTTTTGCATTTTAAACTTAACCCTATAATCTTAATCCTAACCATTACTCTAATTCAAACCCTAATCTTAATCCTAACCCTTTCCCTAATCCTAACCCTAAAAGTCTAAAAATAGTAACTGTTCCTAAATTGCCACTCAAGGAAAACTTGTTGTGAAATATTCATTGTATGGATTTGATGCAGTGGACAATCAGCAGTATTTTGAATCAGATATAAAAGCTCCTGCACGGTCATGATTTCCTTTCGTGTTTCTCTCGTGAGAGTGTGGAAAATGTTAAAAGAAAAACATTGTGACAGAGCCGTCAAGTTCAGATGATTAAAAACCTGGAGGATATCTAACCACTGAGGCCATTATAAACAAAATGGGAGAGTATGATCATCGTGCAATTCACAAAACATTTGTGTTTCTATACGATCATTAGAATGCTATGTCCTGCACTAGAAAATGACAAGAGATTAAGATCCAGAATTTGATCAATAATTTTAAATTCAGCCGTGAGATCAGCCCCAAAACCTGACGACTCGCAAGTACACCGTGTGACTTGTACATAAATACCAGTAAACAAACAGTAAACAAGAAACATTTTATTTCATTATATCAAACATTCACTACATTAATCAGATTTCAAAAACTAGCTATCAGGGCTAAAACTATATATACATATTACACCCTTTGGTAACGCGAGTCGCGCGCGTGATAATTCTTAAATAATCTTTATATATGTAATAAATATTTTAAATCTATTATTCTATATCTATTTGTTGGTTCTCTACAATGAGAAACATTCCTACTTCGTTTCCAAATGGATCCGTAAAGATATTAATATATACGAGGCTTTCACAAAGCACTCTCGTACAGCGGATGGTGGTCAACCTGCATTTATCAGAGTGAGGGAATAATTCTTTCAATAAATGGATGCTTTTGATGGGAAATAAATAGAATTGAGATGCATTTTAATTTTCTTGCTTCCATTGACCACCACCTTCTGTCTGGTACCGTTTCACGAAACCAATGAACAGCAATGTTACTGGTGTTTCATTTCCCAGTCGCGATGCTAACCAACACTTTTACATTCAATATTTACACTCCTATTCTTTCTTTGCAATGACGTAATTTTGGGATTTCAATTGACGGGCAGGTGTAACAAAAACGGCTATTTTAATGTATTGATCGAGTTTAGAGACAGTTTAAGACTCGAAAGATGAATTACCGTTCAGTTTTTCTTGCTACAACCATTCTGATAGGAAAAACGTCCACAAGTTGTTTGATTGCCCGTCATTTGGATGAAAAGTCACGTGATTGCAAACAAAGAATTAAGCCTGGTGTACAATACATTATCAACGTTCCTGTGATCACAGTAGACATTTGGCATGGATGATAATAAAAATTGAAATCAGTGTTGAACACCAAGTAAGTTTCCTCAAACATTTCTTACAAATCCTTCAAAACGTTTTACTCATGCAACATTCCTACTGTGATCACAGAAACTTTGATATTGTAATCCAGGCTTTACAGTTATATATAGTTCACATCATCACAGACAGATCTCGTCAAAAAATAACTCACCAGTTATGATAGCATAGACATGGGAACTAGTCCTACACAATGCACACGAATCAAAATATACAAAAATCTATAGTGGATTGGTGGTACCTAAAATGGGTTTCACTAAGCACTATCAAGCCGCAGATGGTGGTCAACATGTGGTGAGAAAGTAATGTCAGTTTCCTATCTTGTATTGATGGAAAATAAGAGAGTTTCATTTTCATGCTTCTATAATCGTCAACATTCCTAAAGTTGACCAGCATCTGCTGCCATGGAACGCGGACTGAAAACGAGGGTCAAACGGAGGATGAGAGTTGATAAGAGTTGGCAGCCATGCATTGTTACAGGGGACATTTCTAGAATTTCTAGAATCTAACTTCAATAGAATACATGTTAGTGTTGGGAAAGCATTAAGAACAGCGAACCAAAGTCGCGTGAGGCAACTCTCATCCTCGTTTCATCCAGATTTAACACTATGTACACTTTGTCGTTCACGCCTGCTTTTTATATCTGTCGATTTGTCTGACCGGCATTTTTTTCTGCTTGTCTTAATAAGAATAAGTCGAGTTGGCTTCACTTCGACGCGACAGGCTGTGCAAGTAGAGTGTGTCCATTGCGATTGACCATCGTGTCCTGGGGAGGAACATTCTCTTCGTCAACATTCTTCAAATGCATAGATTCTGGCGATGTACCAGCTGATTCGTCTGAAAAAATAGTTAGTTAGTTAGTTACTTTATTTCAATATAAAATAAGAAAATATTATTGTTCATTGAGTTTCTCATTCATTGGTGAACGGACTTCCCAACAGGCTATTGTCCAATTGCTAGGGAATCCGAGGTACCTACGATTTAACGTCCTTATCCGAGAAGACGCGAAAGTCTAACCATTTACTGATGTCAATGTAAAGGTAGCACTTCTCGTCAATTATTTTAAGACCTTGAGACTTGAGTGGAGGTCCGACCAAGGATTGAACCCGGGTCTCCCAGCTTGAAAGGCAAGGGTGTGCGAGCATAGGCGTACCGGGCGGGGGGGGGGCGGTAGCCCCCAGTTTTTTGGGCAGTCGGGCAATATTCGATCAACAGTCGGGCAATTTTGGTTTGCAATAAAAAAAATGGGACAAATTCTGTAAATTTTGTCTAAAATTAAGTCAATTTTTTGGCCAATTTTGTGATTTTTGGAAAATTTATGTCCTGTTTCGAAAAATATTGGTTGTCCGGAAAAATTTTTTTGACCCCTAAAATGGTACACTGACCAAAATTTTTTTGGCGACGGGGGGGGAGGTCGCCAAAATAATATTTCCGGAAAAATTTTTTTGGTACTAGTCGGGCAGAATTCCGAAAAGTCGGGCAATTTTCTTTCCGCCCCCCTAATTTTTTCCTTCCGGTACGCCCATGTGTGCGAGTAACCATCACTGGATTGTGACCAAATGGCACTATGCTATTTGCTATATTTGCTATGTTTATTGCTCGAATTTTACAATAAAGGACTTTATTTTTACATACCACCTGGGTTTCCTCGGCTTTTACATAGTACATTAAACCACACATAGCGCATTAAACCCGTCTTCTTTGTGTACAAAATAACGTCAAAAATCAAACAAAGAAAAACAAATTCTCCCATAACCACAGCCGCTAAAATCTTCCCTTGCTGGGTGTTGTCCGGTTCTAGAAAATTAATTAACTTGTTAGTAAATCAAATTAAGTCGATTAATTGCAATTAACTAATCAATTAATGAATTAAGCAATTCATTAATTGAATTAAGCAATTCATTAATCAATCAATGTAATATTTAACTAATCATCAATATGTAATTAATTACACTATGGATCAATTAAGAAAGCAATTACTCAACAGATTAAGCAATTAACTAATCAACCGATCCAATTAAGCAATTAATCAATGAAGTATAAGCAATTACCTAATCAATTGATCATTTAACTAATTACCCCATCAATAAATTAAGCATTTAATAAATCAGTTAAATAATTATGCAATCAATTAGCAGACTAATGAATCAATTAAGTACCTGCTTCATTAACAACGTAACCTACGACAGGAGCACATCTACATGTAGTGGAATCGAACTTTAGTCTGCCTGGACAATCACGTGGCTTGCAAACGAACTTGCATTGTTTTTCATCTAATTTCTAATATATAAAAAGAACAAGAACTTAATTAAGATAAACCTTTAACAGCCAAATAATTCTTTAACAAACTTGTATTCATTTCAAAATGTTGTTACAATTATAGTATGATAGTATATGTATGTATTTATAATGCAAACTGGGAGTGTTATGGAATAAAATGCATGTAAAAATAGGAGTGTTTTAATGAATTAAAAAGTGATTCATTACCTTTCCACTGGGAGGATTATTCTTGTCCAAATTACATTTACAGTTACACTCCTGACTGTCCCAACTGAAACATGAAATGAAGCAATGAATCACATATTGTCATCTCTTCCACACAAGTTTGCATAATGTTAGAGAGTCCTAAGGGGAAATGTAACATATCTTTACAATAAGAAACCTCATCTAGATCAACTTTTTCACTGCCAAAGTGCCTGGATATGATGCAATGATTGGATGAATTTTTGGGGCAAAAACTAAATTAGGAAAACTAATTTGCAATTCATCTAATGATATTATGTCTGGATACGTTGGCAGTGAAAAAGTTGATTAAGACGAGTTTTTTTACCATAAAGATTTAGATATAGATATATTACATAGTTGCAATTTATTCATATTTCTGTGTTTTCCGCTTTGTATGTCATTGCTCTGAAGATGTCTTAAGTTGAAGACGCAACGTTAGCTTTCTAATAAATATTTTAAAACTATATTTTTGTTATGGCTCTTTTACGTATTTTCTGCTGGGCATTAATATTTATCTTAACATTACACTTCGTCTTAGAATGACCCAAATATTACACATACCAAACATGATGCATACTTATGGTTAGTGGTCTTAATGAGCTTGTACCAGTGCGACCAGGATTGAACATAATGATTTTTGAGATGTTCTCTTCTTGGAATTATTTACTTATTTATCGTGATAAAATAAATAAATATTTCCAACCAGAGAAAGTCTCAAAAATCATTACTGTAAGAAAAACTTATCATTAGGTCTGGTTGAAACTCGCGCTTATCATGAGCGGAACATCATGAACATGAACCCATGAGCGCATTTTGCCTAGGTCTTACTAAAAAGCTAAAAAACAAAATAACTTACGATTGATCGCTGCCACACTCAGAGCCTGGAGGTGCCGTGGTATGCATACACGTACATCCACAATTCTCCTTATCCTGCCGAAATAATTTTGGCACGGGACATTCGATGGCACACTCCCCTTTACAGGAAGTGTGATTTTTCAAAATGACATATTCCACTTTATCAGTCTCTCCACCACTCGTTATTTGGACTCGCACGTTTTCGGATTCGTTAAACGTACATCTTTTCCGTTCAGGGTTCTCATCTTCGAAAGAACCCTGGCATCGCTGAAGCATCACAAAATAAGGTCGTCCGTTGCTATTCACAGCAACGACTTGTTCCAAAGGTTGGCAATCAATACCATCACTTGAATCAAGAATGTCTAGAAAATGAAGAATATGTTTAGTAACTTGCAAAAAGTCGAAACACTAAAGAATATATGCATAGTTTTATAATTGGTACGGCTATAAGTTGTCAACATTTCCGAGTTGATCACAACTTGCAGCTTGTCCACCAATATATACTTGGGAAAACACATTTTTTAAACATGTGTCAATGAATCTTAACATGGATTATACCAAAAGTAGTGTAAATGAGACATGGCCAAACATGGCAACTTAAAAATAGCAACAAGCCTTAATTGAAATGTTTGGTAAGGCATATATAACCGCGTGTAATAACACGTTCGTTAAAATACACTGGATCAGACGAACAGACATCAGGCACCAGGCTTGATTAAATGTTTATTTCACAATGGCTGTTTCACAATCCGTTTTTTCCGGCAAAATATGCAAATTACTGACACTACGTAAACTAGATATTTTACACGATTAAATTGCATGTTTCATTTAAAGCAGGCATTAGCCCTTCCTGTATTGCCTATAGGACGTGGTTATGCGTAACAAATTTGGCAATAAAATTAACAAAGAACGATTAAAATTCTCTCTAGGAAGACAGATCATCGTGTTTCGTGGTCCACGACGAGTAATTTGAATAGTATTGTGTGTGTGTTTTATTATGTACTGAATGAATGAGTAAACGCGAAACTGTAAATCATAGTATAAAATCCACCATAAGTTTTTCATATACAGTAAACTATACCACCTATTCACAGCGATACTGGTATACGAACGGATGACAGTCGGTTTTATGAAATCATGAGTCAAGAGACATGACATTTTAATGGTTCTTTGCGTGAGTTCTGTTTGTGTTTCTTTGTTGTTTGTTATCTTAAAAGTATAAAGCGTAAAACGGCAAGCAAGCCTAAATGTATAGCTGTTATCTTTTAAACCGCCCAATTCTGTGGCGTATTTAAACTGTTTTGAATTGTATATGACAACAGAGACACGCATAGCGAGCATAGTACTTGGGTAATTAGACACCATCTGGTATCTCCTCGAAGGAGTAATTACGTTAAACTGAATATTTGTATAGCATCTAGACACAACTATAATCACACGGAACCGGATTCTTTGCATTCACATAACACTCATGAGTTTTTTAAACTACATTTGCTTATCCTAGCTAACATAAACTGCTTTTCCGGGGCAATTTCAAGCACAGTTGGTATATATGACTGGTGCTCTAACATATTGAAACCGCTACAGCGTGGTTTAGAGATAACAGATAAGGTGTCGTGTTGAATCCGTTTAACAGTGTATGTCCCCCCCCCCCCCCTCGTATTTCTTGTCAAATCTATTTCTACGGTATATGGTGTCTGCTGTAAGTTCAAACTACCCTTTTAATAAACAACTCGGAACGATAAATTACGAGAGTATTTAAAACACTTACCAGCACTCTGTGTTAATTGTAGGCAAATAATACTTGTAAAATACACAACGAAATGACCATACATCTTCGGGAAATTTGAACCAGTAACAACCGAATACGAATAGAGTTGAATACTTGAATATAATAAGAATTGGTAACTTGTGCTTTATATACAGGCGTTGAAGATATTACACAGTTGAAGGTAGCGACTCTTAATGTTACTCGCTTCGAGCAATCTGACTCTTATAATGAGATCGTCTTCCGCTATATGCAAATTCAGCCCCCGCTGGCGTGAGTTTGGTTACGCACACCCATATCAAATATCCTCGCAATTTTCGCCCATCGTATGCATACCTTATTTTCCCGGAAACGGGCGAACAAAGAACATCCGTGGACAACGTTCGAAGCTTTCAATTTTCATTCAGTTAAAAATATATTTGTCTATAGTTTACGGTTGAGACGATATTGACCATTTATAGTTATAGACTGTCCAGATATAGCTAATTATAGGTTGGCAGAAACTTTGCTGGAAGCCTTGCTTTTATCCTTTCCAGAAAGCTGGTCAATGCCAGCGAAAGGAAGAAATACATCTGGCAGATAGTTACATTATCAAAGTTTCTGTGATCACAGTAGGAATTTTGCATTGGTAAATTCTAAGTTTTGAAGGATTTGTAAGAAATGTTTGAGGGATCCGGAACAGACTCACTAAGTCAGTTACCACAAATATTTCTAACAAATCCTTCACAACTTAGAATTCATCCATACAAAATGAGTACAACTGTGATCACAGAAATTTTGGTAGTGTGAACTAGGCTTTACACGAGGAAAGCTAAACCACAAGCAAAGTTTATACATCCTGGATAGTTCTATCACAGCGCCCTTAATTAACTGTTTTTCCTGGAGGTCCAGTAACCCTTTATTCATCAAACATTCCTACAGCAGGATGCAATAGTACCTATAGCGAAAACCCTCGGTGTTTGCTTCATAAATAAATACGTGTACACTGTAATTGTGATGTCAAAGTAATTTGGGATAAGTTTGCTTCAAATTCTTGCAATTTTTTGTGATTTGGTTGTAGTTTTTGAATCGGATTCTCTTGAATCAAAGTTTGACATTTACAATTGTGAAAATGAACAGTTATACACGCTCGACACTCCCAAGTTAAGTTAATTAACGGTTTCGAAAAACAGGTTATTTTGATCGATGACGGCATCGCGATGCAAATGAAGTCATCCTTCACTGAGCGGTCATAAGAAATATGACGTCAAATAACAGTTCGTTTTCATTCTCTCGGCGTCCTGGCCTGCCATTTGAAACGAAGGTGAACGAATTTGACGCGTGTCTTAAGACTACCACTTACGCTGAGACCACAGTGGTCATTAGTTGCACGAATTGTACGTGATCAGTACTCGCCATTTTGAGGTCACATGAGACAATTATTAATGTACATTTCTAAGGCCCCCACAGACTGCAGTGATTTGTTGTCAATTTCTTATCGACAACTTCTATTTGTCGACTGTTAATTTTGCGCGATAACTACTCCCCACAAAGTAGAAAAAAACCCGTTGTCGACAATATTGATTTGTCGATTAAAAGTCAAGTTTCATTCCCTTCGAAAAAGGGAACTGTACTTTGTTGTCGACTACTAAAAATTTAACAAATTTGTATCGACAACTTATTGTCACAGGACACAGACCTGATTTTTGGTCGTTCCACAACATCTTGTCGTCGACAACAACAAAGTTGTCGACAACTATTTCGCTAGTCTGTCGAGGCCCTATTTCCTTGTGTTTTTCAGGTATACAGACAGGTAGCTGTATATCCCTAACAATCAGCAGCTTCTTATTATTGCCATTACTTACACTGGTGCAGACAACTCAAGATTACATTTCAAACAGTTACAACTAATACAAAGAAGATAAGAGTGTTTGGTTGCACGCACAATTCATTTTCATCGCATATTTCGGTTCTTTAGAGCCGTTTCTCAAGCGTTGATTGCTATACGAGATCGTGACCATACAACTCAAGTACTTCCGTTATTTATCTCACGATTCTAATATTGTCGTAGTTTCGGGTCTCGACGAAATTAAATTACTTTCGTAACGGCAATTATACCACCACGTATGGTACATCAGTGTCCCGGCCACAATTGTGTCTCAGACCTTAGTGTGAGAAGAGTGCTTCCAGTTCAATTCTACCAAACACTACAGATTTTCCTTCTAGTACTGTTGTCGGTAACGAGCCCCCCATCCGCACGTGGTAAAACAAGACTTGTATCTTGCTATTTTGAGGACAGACCAGGAAAAAAGCCTGAGAAATATTTGTTTTAGAAGATTAAGGAAAATTTTCCAGACAGAAATCATTAATATACTCAGTCTCAGACTTCCTTATCTGTCATTTTGAAACATGTAACATATAAAATACCGCCACGTACATTCTGTTGTTGCATACATAATCGCGTTTGCCATTGTGCTCACCTACGCAACATTTGAAGAAGGCAAAAGGATCCGAGCAACATTAAAAGCTTTCGTGTAAGCTTTCGTGAAATTGTTAGGCGTTGTAAGAGCAATAACGTTATTGCCGGTTTGTAAAGTGCGGACGGGAGGATAGAATACTTTAAGCACCAATCGAGGATGAGTGTTTGGCAGTCACGCAATGCTACAGGGGACATTTCAAGGTTTGATGAATGTTCCAACTATATTTTAACTTAAATAGAATACATGATAGTGTTGGGAAAGCATTAAGAACAGCTAACCAAGATCACGTGACTGTTAACACCTATGCGGACTTTAGACCCGGACTTTAGAACAGAAAGATTTCAGTTCCTCCTGTAACTACACTGAAGCCGGACTCGGGGACAGGACTGTCCCTAAATGGTCAGAAAAACATCTGAAACAGAACTATAAAAGAGCTATCCATTCTAAAACAACACAACTGCTGTTAATTATAGCTGAGTAACAGAAGTTCCTGTCTATCTCAATCAATTTCATTTCGCTATCTGTGTATTGACAGGCATTTCCTAAACGTTTGACAAACATAGCAATATAGGAAAGAGTCCACTTCAAAATGGCTGACTTGTTGAAGTGGAATTTGGCTCACCTTCAGTAAACGTTGGTGACTGTTTGAACGATAGCTAACAGGCTCTGTAACACGCCTACATCAAGAGAAATAGAATATTACCTCATAGTTATACAACATGGGGTTGTATTAAGTATACTACATTTTTGTAGGTTATGCCATGCACGAGGAAATCGTCTGGCGTTAGACAGAGCCAAATAATTCGGTGTTAATTAAAAAGAGTTGTGCATCCCAACTTCGCGAGTACAGTTAGGGAAAGTTATACATGCATGATCTTGAATTTAAACTACCCTGAAGTATAAAAGTTACGTTGTGGGCGCTAACAATTTTAATTTAAAAAGATGATTTGATGTTGTATATAAAGCGGCGATTTGAGTAGAGTGGGTTATATTCTACAGATTACATAGTACACAAAGAATGAAGCTAATCTGCAATAGACGTCATGGGCACTCATGCAGGCTCTTGTAAACAGCATCAAAGTAATCAGCCGGTCTGAACAGGTTACAACACATTCACGTGAAATAGCAAAGCATGTCACAGCCCGTAACATAATCTATTTGTTCATAAAGGGTGGGAAATTTCTAAGAACATTCATGATACACATAATCCCATAAAAATTCCAAACATCTCGTCTATGAAAACAAACAGATGGTTCATCCCACTAGACAAGAAGTACTTCAATGTAACTGAATCCCAAATTAGCCGACATGCATAGAATCTAATCATTGTTATTATCAATAGTGTAATCAGCACATCGCGGAAATTGATGTCACAGTAATTAAATTAACTTGTTCATTTCGTAGTTTATTGAAGAGTGCTGAATCCAAAAGGAATGGAAAGCATTAACTTTTAGGGAAAGTGTACAAGAGACGGCTTTCTTTGAGCCAATTATTGCGTAGCTAAACTGAATTGTCATTAATGTACTTATAATCCATTCTTAGTTAAAAGACAAAGAGCGTTATCTTCGGGTAGAAAAAAATTAAGTCGTAAGTAACAAAGCCACAGGACCATCCCTTACTGATCTAGTGTTACTACAGAAGGAAGTCAAAACTAAACTAACATATTTTACACCGGAAAGCTCAATCAGTTCGAAACTGTTCTTTCTAGAGGTTCGGTAGAGGTCATATGTTTTTTTGTTGTTGTTACCACGTAAACTAACTTTATTTACACCAGATAGTTCGATCAGTTCTAAAATGTTCTTTCAATATAGAGGTTCGGTATGAAGGTCATCGTTTTCTTATTTTTAGTGAATTTCCTGCCTCCCAAGAATTGTAGTCCACTAAAAGTCACTTTTTTACCATTTATTTAAAATATTAATTATAATCACAAATCACATTCTCATCACTTGAATCACTGTCTCACTCCCTCACTCTCACTAGTCCCATGCATTATATATATTTTAGATTATCTCACGTTCAGTTCATTCTCACCTATGATTGGTTCGTCTTAATTGCATTATTTTTCTAATTATTTTGCACTATATTATTAAATCAACACATAATCAACCCCATTCTCCGACATATTGTTGTTCCAGTGTTACTACAAGAAGAAACCTAAACTACCTTTTTTACACCGCGGATAGCTCTATCAGTTCTAAACTGTTCTTTCTAGAGGTCCAGTTAAGGTCATCGTGGGTTTTTAAAATTCCTGTGTCGACACAGGAGGAAACCTAAGTACTCGGTGGAAACCTATACCGTGTTTGGTATAGAGTCAAACTGGAAGCACTCTTCTTACATGCGACTATAGGGTTGTTTTTGGTGCATTTAAATAATCATAAATTCTCGTTTCACCGTTACGTATATTATGTACTTCGCTTTTCTTTGTATAGAAGCCGGTAGCCAGTCTATCTATGTACATTGCCGTTTCAAAACGGAAACTAAAACGGAAACCCTTATTTGGCCAATATATACAAATTACACTTACACTCAGTTCCAAGTATCCTCGGCGGACATTTGATTACCAGGAAAGGGGGAGAAGTAAATTCTAGAGAACATAAATATATCAATTGTTAGGGGTTACGAGCTCTACCAACGATTACAAAATGCTTTACCAGGGAATAGAAACCGGAATGCGAATTTTTCCTGGTTTTCGCGAATAGGTGGGCCGGTTTGAAGGCTTTTGTAGATGAAAATTTTGAGGCTAAGACCATATACAACTTAACCAGCAGCAGCAGTTGCAAAAATGCAACTATAGGCTCTCTCGTAGGAATCGAACCCACTGCCCTGAGATTCTGAGCTACAGAGACCAGTTGTCGAGCACTGAACAACCACAAGTTCTTGCAGTAAAGATGGTGATCAATCTGTTGTTATCAGAGTGAAAAATTACTTCATTATATATACAGCTATTTCAATTAAGGTTGTCCACGAGCAAAGCGGAAAAGTCGAATACGAGCGCGAAAGGCCGTGCTGGGAATCGCTTTGAAAATTCATTAATTTGTTAGTGATTCCCGTGCAGCAGCCTTTCGCGCTCGTATTCGACTTTTCCGCAATGCTCGTGGACAACCTTAATTGAAATAGCTGTATGTAATGGTTTTGTATTTGGTGTATAGTAGTTTGAATTGTAAATTTGAGACATTTTTAAAGTTTAAAGACGATTGAGGCTGCGAAATCAAGATTATTCATATTGAGTTTTTTTGGACGCTCTCTGCTTTGAAATCTATTTTTATTTCACAAGCTTTCGACTGCCAGACTGCAGTCTGTCTAAAGTTGACTTCCATTTGCTGCATATTAATGTTTCTGTGAGGAATTTTGCGAAGGCAAATTCTAAGTTCTGAAGGATTTGTAAGAAATGTTTGAGGGAACTACTGAGTCACTGTTAAACACCGAGTGAGTTCCCTAAAACATTTCTTACAAATCCTTCAAAACTTAGAATTTACTCCTATGCAAAATTCCTACTGTGATCACAGAAACTTTGATAGTGTAAACCAGACTTAATACAATCATGAGCCTCTAGCCGCGCATGTATATGAATGTCCTGGGAACAAGGATGAGAGAGAAAAATCGATCACAAGTTTTTCCTCAGCGGAACCAGACATTTATTCGTCATGGGAAGGTACACGTGAGAAACTCAATATCAAATTAGCTTGCCAGAAATAATCTGAAAAATGCCTAAAATATCCGAAGTAAAACAAAGCTGACATTCTTTTAATGCTTAATTTCTTGTATTTCTATCTCTCTTACACGAAAACAAAGAGTTTACAGTATGAATACTTTGAGAACATTCAATCTTGTATGCACAATATAGAATATAGCACAAATAGAATATATGCACAAATAGAATATAGCACTTTTATAGTAGAGATGCATGGGTTGAAATATTCTTTTATGAATTATGTGCCCATTTTTGCGGTTGAAATAGACTAGAATTTTTAACCAAGCCAAGAAAGTTTATTAAAATACGTATAAAAGAAAATTTAAACATTTTTATAACGAAAGTGGTCTATTATTAAACTAAGGATAAATTGGACATATACTACATTTTGTCATTTTGCCAGGAGATCAAAACGGAAGATATAACTATACGTGTAAAGATTAATGACGTAATTATTGTGACGGAGCAATATTGGAGAAACACCGTGAGAAAATGAAACAATTCATAAATGATATCGAATGACGTTTAGGATACTGCTTGAATTGCTCAAATCGTTATATATTAACATGATTTCCTTGTATGATAATTTTTGAATTCAGCTTGTGATCATCGGTTAACTATTTTTGCTTAAAACAGTTTTACTCCCCAAATTTTCTGAAAAATATACTGAAGCTCAAACCCACAACAAACTATATTACATCCTTCCAAAGTCACAAGAAGGAACTTTGTTTTAGAGCTTAAGCAATTTGTTTTCGACACTTTTTTACAGAAAGAAGCTTTGTACTAGAAGAATAGTTTTTCATTCAGTAATTTCAAGTGACGAAAATCCTACGTTTTGATTAAAAATAAAACAGTGAGTCTCTGTTTTCTCCGCTCAAAGACGCCGAATTGGGGGCGTTATGAAAGTTTTAATCCGGAAAATACACGCCATAGAGTATCGAAACAACGTCACAATAATTACTATAGCTACAGATATAAATTTACAAGCTATATATATATTATAAGGTGTGATTTTGTACAAGGTGTGATTTTGTCATTGGCATTAACATTTTTCATGGGTCTAAAAGATATAGCGAGACTATGTTTGCTTGCATGTTTATATCGATATCGTTACGGTTGGCGGACGAATATATTATATACTCTTTCATATATTGACCTATATGATCCTTTAGTTTACACAGTAGCATTGACTTGTGAAAAGTTTGACAAAAACTGGACGTCTTCATTATACATGCCTGAATTAAAGTTTTAATTGTAGTATAATGCCTATTATATACTTGACACTCCTTCCCTAAACAAAATTGATAAATTTCGTGCGAAATGTGGGAGGATGATTGGAGGAAGCCTAACGAAAAGTGTATTTTCCTTATAATTTCGAGTCTAATTTATTAACTGTTTGTCCGCAATTGTTGATCAGACGTCTTTGTGACTTTAGATTCTTACTGCTTTCAAGAAATAGCGAGTTTTTGGAGTTGTTATATTAGACTCGTATGCATGCATGCCCACGTTCTTTAAAGATCTCCTGCACAGGTCAAAACAAAGTCGACCTCCCACTATTCACTAACCGCATTGTACAATACGAGTATATGTTATGCAATCGTTTTCATCGTCATAGTAATATAGTGATGTGTATATTAATGTTTTAACTGCAAGCTAAATTTAGTTTCCTTGCATCTTAAAAGATGTTTTTGTACAGTATGTTGCGCAATGCGCCCTCAAAGCTAATAAGTATAATTGTATTTAATTGACAATTTTTTACTATTATTTTATGTTTCTCAACCGGCAACTATGCATTTAAAAAGATAGCTAGCTGTATAAACTAGAGAATAAAGCTAAAACAAATCAATTTTGAGAGGTACGCCAAAAAGATTTTCGGTTTTGAACATTTTTATCGCAAATATACGACAAAGAAAAAAATTGGTTATTAAACGTTCGATAATTTCGTATTTGGGCGAGAATTCCAGTTGAATCGTGTGATTCGTGTCAATTCAACAGGATATTGCTATCATTTCTTGTTCGCGGAAGTGTATTGGTTTATATATATTTAGTATCACGTTTGGAGGTGTTTATGTGGTTTAACCGTTTAAGTCGGCCAATATGAGACATTTTTTGAGATGTTCAGTTCTAGTTGCGTGGGCGAACTATCTTTGCTAGAACGATATCTCAAACGTGGTGGTCCAGTGTAGGTAGTATTCTACAAATCAATAAGCTGTCGTGGTTTGTGTCTGAACTACCTGAAAAAGACATCTCAAACGTGGTGGTCCAGTGTAGGTAGTATGCTACAATAAGCTGCCGTGGTTTGTGTCTAACTACCTAAAAAGATATCTCAAAGGGTTCCAGTGCTGAAAAAGATTAAATGATACCACATACACTGGACCATCACGTTTGAAATATTTTTTCAGGTAGTTCAGACAGACAACGCTGTCAACGCGGTAACTTTATATTGTAGAATACTACCTACAGTATATATTATTACGAACTTTCCAGACAATCACATCTCACGCCCGAAATATCTCACATTCTCTTGCAGGGAAAGTCGTTTAATCCACATTCAATTCTCCAAGACAGAATTGGATCTCTGTTTTTGAGTGAAGATTTAGTCATGATCTCATAACCGAAACATCTAAACAATGTCTCATACTTTCCGAACAATGATAAAATCCATTTCTAATTAAAACCCATTAACCCAACAATACTGGTAGACCACTGGTCAAGCGTGCTTCCGTTTACAAACATGTACTTCCTACAAAAACAAAGGTGTGAAAACCATACCTGTTATTTGTACACTAATTATGTCCACGGCTCAAGTGCTAAACAAATGAGAATGATAAAAATAAATAAGGGATATATTTTATAAATCTACTCTAGAAAATGTAAACTAACCTAACTTTGATCCAGTGTTACTACAGGAGGAAACATAAACTAAACTAACTTCATTTATACTGGATAGCTCTATCAGTTCTAAACTGTCCAGTAAAGATCATCTCTTGTTGATCTAGTGTTATACTAAAGAAGGAAACATAAACTAAACTAACTTTATTTACACTGGATAGTTCTATTAGTTCTAAATTCTCTATTAGTTCTCCGGTCCTAGAGATCCAGTAAGGATCATCTCATATTCGGATCCAGTGTTACTACAGGAGGAAACATAAACTAAACTAACTTTATTTATACTGGATAGCTCTATCAAGTTTTAAACTGTTCTCCATAGGCCTAGAGCTCTTCTCACAAGAGATGAAATTATAATCAGCTCTGCTGTATATTGCAGGAATGAAACACGTACTGGTCAGAGAGGTGAGTGACGCCACACAGATTAGTCTTTAAGTTAAGTCGCCTAAATTGAGCTGTCGGCTAACTCGTATACACTTATTTTACAATACCACAGCCTGATTAACAGTCCGTACTGCGATCATCGACAAGGGCCCCGAACATAAGCCGGAAAAAAACAATTAGTACTACGACCGCATGCAGATAAAAGCATTTAAAACACGTTCAAAGTCAGTCAAAACATAATTCAACAAGTAATAGAGGGCGAGGCATGTTTTTTACACTGTATTCAGTAACTGTAGTGATAAATACCTTAGCGGGAAATAGCGTATCACCACAGGCATTGGCGACCAACAGATGCGTGGGCAGTTTATATAATCAGCAACCTAGACGACAAACAAAAAAAACATCGTTAGTAGACATTTTGACTTTGAACTTTTGGTTTATGTTTTTTACATTGCGGAATAAGAAGGTAATCTGGGTGTAAACAAAGTGACTGAGACCAGGAGGGTTTCAATATGAAGTGTTTATATGCCCGGATGAAACGAGGATGAGTGTATATATGAGAGTTGGCAGTGACGCGATCTTGGTTAGTTGTTCTTAATGCTTTCCTAACACTATCATGTATTCTATTGAAGTTAAACATAGTTGGAACATTCATCCAACCTTGATCATGAAATTTCCCCCCTATAACAACACGTGACTACCCACTCTTATCAACTCTCACTCTCATTTGACCTGGGTTTTGAAATCAGCTGCTACATAAAGATTGAAAAAATATCTCATGCTAAATGTTTCCCCATTATTTGCCATCAAACATGCGCAGAAAAAAATACTTTAATACTAGACCAGACATCTTGTCGCTAGGAACGGCTAATTCCAAAACAAAGATCCTTTTGCTTATTCTCTAGTTAACTGTTAAGGTGGGTCAGCTACAGAAGACGGTTATCTGGGTGTCGTGCGCGACTAAACTGTTCACTGACAAGTACAGACTGACCTTTGGTCTTTTGTTGTATGGGTGGGTTTCACAATACTAGCACATGGTGGTTAACTGTAAAAGAAAAGACAGCTGTATCAGAGTGACTATATGTATCGAGTTTGTGTTTCGTAGTGAATACATGTAATGAAAGCATTTTACATCATTTGTTCGCCCCCAACATTTGAAATCGAGGACCATGTATGGAACAGGGGTTGTGAAACCGGCCTCTTCACTTATTGTACACCAACAAAGCGCGCACATACAAAGGCTATCGGCATTAAAGTAGCGTGGGATAAGTGCAGACCCCCAATTTTGCAACCACACAAGTGAAGAAACACTATAGGGGTCACACGATTTTAGATTTGTTTCTCAGGCGGTTGGGTAAAATTAGTAACAAAAATTTTAGTGGCAGGTACCGCGCATGGGTCTGTTTGGCACGTTCGTGCTCAGTGCCTTTTACTGAAGGGATCATTTCTGTCTGTTTCTGTGTTATTTTTATTTTTTGTGTACTTGAATGCTCTCCGACAAAACTGTGAAGTTAAACAAACACTGAATTATACAAAAGTGAATCACAGACGTTCGGTCGATGAAGGAGACTAGACGATGCGGGCGGGGGCTGCGAGCAGGCTAGACCTTGTAAGGAATTGTAGAAACTATGCTGGGCGGTATCTTATATAGGAAAGTCGATGTTACATGAGTAATAGTTCCAAAGAAGGAACAGTGTAAAGGCCCTTCTTCTGAAAGTTAGAAGGAGGCTTAAGAGCGTTTACAGGTCGGCTAGTGCCGAATGTGTCTTTCGTCTCTGTCAGGGGTTCAGTCCCAGCAATATCCGATACTCACTATAGTCGTCTGGGGCTGGTTGTATAAAAAGCTATAGTTAAAATACAGCTACAGTCAGTACAAAAGTTAAGGTCCAGCTCCGCCAAGGCCTCTCAAGAAGATTCTCATCTCGGCACTGAAGAGACACTATGACGACCGTGACACAAAACGGAAAGAAGAACTAGATATCCCACCGCTTTATAAGGCCATATAAAAAAAAATAGTTGGTTAGCGTCCTTAGCTTTTGCCAAAAAGTGGGCGGGCGGGCGCTTTTTTTTTAAATTTTTACAAATTTTTAACGCCTTGATTTTACTCACTGTTAGGTCCGAAACTGGATTTTCTTGCGCAGTACAGATATTTTTTTTATATATTTCAAAATATCTCATACCGTCATTTTCGCACGCAATTTCGCAAATTATTAACACAATTGACTACAGTCAACAGAAATACTACATATATTGGAGCCCGTTGATCAATAAAAGTCGTTTTTTTTTAAAATAAAAAATAAAAAAAATCCTGAGCGGGGTCTTTTTTGTGGGCGGGCGGGGACGCTAACCAACTATTTTTTTATGTGGCCTAAGACAGGTATGCGGCAGCGTTCCTTTCCATACAGAGGGACAAAATTGTGGAACAATATACCGAAGGACATTCAAGACATTTCTAGTTTGCCAATTTTTAAAAATTCAGTAAGAAAGCTTTTATATAAGGAGTGGACTACTTCATACCTTCTAATATTTCTTTCTTAATTTGGGAATTAAGTATCTCAATTATATAATTTAAATAGTTTTAGATAATCTTAAATAATTTTAAATCTGTAAATATAATATAGTCATTATCATATTACTTGTAATTGTCTCTGAATATTATTTAAATATAATGACACAATTATAATAATAATAATTTAACCAAGTGATATATACATCAAATTGCTTCTAAAAACCTAAATATTCTTTTAATTAAGCCAATACAAATGGGGTGGAAAAATTCGTTGCAGTAACTCTAAATAGTGGTTAAAAATAGTGAAGAGTTTTATACAACCGTTAGATTATATTTTCAAAAAATACGGGTATGATCAAACTTTATTCAAGCCTCTAAAACGTAATGAAACCATTTGCAGGATTACTGGAGCATATAGCCTCGATTTCATTCTTTTTGAAAATAGACAGTACCACCAAACATTGCCTAAGACTGAATAAATTAAAGAAATGAAGGAATGAAGTCGAGGCTATGCGTGTGGCCCATAACAACGTATCTTCAAATTCTAGTTAAAAATATTATAATTATATTATAATATTTTTAACTAGAATTCGATTTTCGCCTGGTGTTTCTATTGCCGATTATGGTTACGCCAAACGACACGTGTCAGCCCAAATGATTTATAAATACACAAAGCACGACGATTCCCGAAGCTTCCCGAAGGTCTACGTACGCACACGCGCGACGTACACGCATCAGATTTCATCCCATCGAGACAACTGTTTTGACATATCTCGATTACACAAGGGCAGGAGCATATATAATACTTGAAACGCATGACCGTTCCGCGAACGGAAAACCACGCTCGAGATCCAAGCTGTCATTATACAGGCGTGTGTATATAGGACGTTTTCACACCTCATTGTCAGCATTTACTCAGGAAGTCACAAGCAGTTCAGACGCAAAGATGAGTCGCTTCGGACTACACGTTATTGTATTGACAGCATTAACCCTCATTTCAAGCTGTTTACGCACAGGTATGAAATATTATTTTTACATTTGAACACTTAAAAGTAAGAGATATTGGTAATTTAATGTGTAATCGTGTATCTGCGGCGCTATAGCTTGTAGTTGGCAGAAGTCGCGAACACGTTGAATTCTGTGGTATTGTATCAATAATTTACATGATAGGCATGCTCGGTGTTACTTCGCGCTCATAAAAGAGAGCGGCATACTTCATAAGAGCAACGTTTCAACTCTTAAATTGTGTTAAAACACTGCTATACTTATCCACATTGAATGTTAGTTCAAGTTTCAACCAACCAAGTTAATTTAAACCGTTAAATCTGTTGAGTCATCTGAATTCCCACGGTTTTCAAGATCTTTATAAAGTTACGCTACACTCGTTGTCTGTCAGAGTGTCTGCGCTTTAAACTGGCTACGGCACAATTCACTCATGTAAAATCGTAGAAATAACAAAATTTCAGTGATATAAACATCAATCCATGAAAAATTGTTTATAACAGACAGGATAAGGTTTAAAGAGCCCAATATCTTGCTTTAAACATCAAATTTTAAGAAACTATGTTAATGGCTTGTTGGTATGTGGTAATATCGCATCAATAATATGAACACGCGAAGTATGATTTTGACGCGTTCAAAGATATATAATAAACGTCAGAAAGGTTTATAATATAAGACTTTTCCATCTTAGTATTCCTTACATATATTTCGTGAATTCTATAATCTTTTAAGCTTATTCAAATGAATGGAATTCCTAAATTAGCCCAAATTATCTTGATGATCTCTAATATCAAAGTGTTGCTATATTGTTACATGCAAAGCGTACATCACCAAACACTATCGACTATCTTCATCAGATATTATCTATATAAACTGTTGTGTATGTTAATACGACCCGTAATTCGGAAAGTTTTCAAAAACGAGCCATATCTCATGAATGTAATCTTGTGAGTCGGAAGTTGTGATATGCCGATGGCATTTGAATTATTTTCCGTGTACGCAAAGAAGCACATGTTTCACCGAGTGGACTCCTTTCATTTTCTTGGTATTCAGGAAATTCTACAACTACAAGCAATTTTCGCTATGCGGTAGTAAAAACTCAATTGCGAACTTAAGCAAAGCTTAATCTCTAGTGCGGGATCGTGACAAGAAATCGCCTTAAATTTTACACTTTCATAATCATAAAGAACTAATGCACCTATCAATGTTGACCCCCAGAGAGGGGGTCGGGCATATGTGGGGTATTTGATCATCAATTGCATCCCAACCCTGGGGATTTTGATTAGCATTTTGGCCCCGAGTTGGGGCAATTTGAGCCGAATGACTTTTATTAACATAGTATTTATTGCAATTTATTGCAAAATGGTGGGGCATTTGACCAATATTTATTGCCCGACGGTGGGGGCATTTGATTGAAAATTTGCTCAAAAAATCAAATGCCCCCCTATGCCCTCCCCCCCCCCTCTGGGGCTTAACATTGATAGGTGCATAACAGGCAGGATAAAGTACAACGAGGACTACTAATAATATCATATTAATGCAAGAACATGAGCAGAAATTAAGAATTAAAATCCCACGGAAGTTTTAGACGTCGCCGTCGCTCTGTTTTACAACGGCAAAATACAGATTATCACGTCTGATATACAACGCTTGTATTTCAAGCTGGGACAACTGCTAATTTAAATTGGGTCCTAGAACTTTTCTCAATCATGAACCCTGTGTTATCCTTGATCCTTAAACTGCATCATATTTTCATACGATGGATAATAGACGACAAGTTTTCTTCTGCAATCATTTGGTTCAACGAGTTTGTTTACGTGGCCGTCGCATTCCCGTCCTACACGGAGTGTTAAGGTCGCTCCTGTTTGTTTTGAAGAAATTGTGGCAAATGTGAATTGTAAAAGGAAGACAGCTAGTACTTGATCGTTGATCGACAAGTCATTCAAAAATCTGTCAAAGTGCTGCCGGAATGTGGGAAATGATATTTCACAAAATGAAGAATATTCCAGGAGGGATATATGGAGTTTTAATCGAAGCGGGGGTCTTACCTCCTACTAAACTCAATCTTATTTTCTCACTCTGGTAATTGCAGGTGTAGTGCAACTTTTGGCCCAACCACATGCAAGTATACCCTATACTAGGTATAGCTCAGTCGGTTAGAGCGCTGCACCAGAATCGCGGGTTCCTTGATTCCTGTCAGCGGCCCTACACTGGCATTCGACCAAAATTTCCATGAGCATAAACCCCTTCAACACTTAATGAAAATCCTAAAAGTAGTAAGTGAACTCCATTAAAACTCTTTATTCTCAAGGTGCGGCACAAGAAGTGATCGAATTGAAAAATGAACTCTGCAACCCGCGATCGACTATAATTCCCATAGATCAACCTTCGTATCGACACTTTCCATATTACGTCACTCTGTACCGCTGTGGCGGCTCCGACGGCTACACGTCTCCGCGTTACAGGACCTGCGTGCCCGCAACTACCAAGGACGTCAGAATTAAGGTGCGGAACCTGGACACGTCAGAGTTTGCAGAGATTATTGAAAAGAACCATACATCATGTAAGTCAGCGTGTGCGAACAACAAGGCGATGTGCGATGCGGAAATGGAAGCGTGGAATGAGCAGGCTTGCCGATGTGAATGTAGATATCCCGACGGACCACCTCAAGCTTGTCCCGCTCGATTCAAGTAAGTGATGCAGGCACGGATTTTCTGGGGGGGGGGGGAAGGTGCGCACCACCCCAGAAATGATTTGCACCTTCCCCCCTCAGAGGCATTTGGCACCGCCCCCAAAAGTTTTTGCACCAACGCAAATTATAATAGTTTATAGTTCAAATAATTATAGTTTCATATTTGATTATTCTTACTACTAAATTTGTAAAATTACCAATATTATGGTCTCAGATCTCGCCATGCAGACATAGAAAACAAATTTTGTTAAACTTTTTCCTTGGCCTTTCCGGGCGTTGCCACCAGACCCCGACCAAAGCAAGCAGCAGCACCCCCTCAGATATTTATCCCCCCCCCCGAACGAAAATATGAAAATCCGTCTCTGAAGTGATGACGATCAACTTTATCTAAACACACTAATCTTTGAGAAAACCTTCGCACATTTGAAGTGGTCTTTGTCAGTACCAAAACCTCGCACTAATAACATGAAAAATAGTTTCATGTATGACGGAGCAAACCTTAGGAATTCTATTCCAAAAGAAATTAGGGAAAGCAAATCACTTTCTTCCTTTCGAAATAAAATCGCTGCTCATATCCTACGAGTAAATAAAATTTCTATCTGTTTAGCTGATTTCCAAAAGAGGTGTGCTAATGTTACGAAATACTTACTTAAATATTACTATATTAATTATTTTCAACATATGATTAGCTGATCAATATATTTAACCTAGACAACTAATTTCTAAAAACAAAGGTCGACGAAGAAATCTTTTTGCAAAACGAATAATAAGATACCGAACTTCTTAGTCTCATTCGGCCAGGGACGCCGGAACGATGTGAAGGCAAGGGGGGCAGATTTTTGTGAAAGGGCACTTTTGAATTGATATATACTAAGAGATGTTTGCAAAACATCGGGAGTTGAACTTTTCCTAATCATGTTTTCTATATATTGGATGCCAGGGGTGTGAGGGGGTTCTCCGCCAGGCGATTTTGCTATTCTTGAAGCTCGATGACTGCATTTCTTGCGTTTTCTGAAGCAAATTCGTAAAAGAATTGAAGAAGATTTCTGACAATCGCTATTTCGCCAAGGCAATCCTTTAAATTGAAAGGGCACCTTTGCCCCCCTTGCCCCTCCTGGTAAAGGGCAACGGGGGTGGCTGCCCCTCCCAGTTCCGGCATCCCTGCTCATTCCGACTTTTTTAGACATTTTACAACGGCGGTGTGTTGCAAGTTGCATGCAACATTGCCTTGTCTAACACCCTTGGATTGCAACTAGTGTCGCAATGAAGAATGAAATTTCTACTTTTTGCACTGATACGCAACCAGTTGCAGCGCCCAACACCCCCATGCATTGCCAGTTTTCTTGAAAATCAATAACGAAATAGACTTCACGTTGCTTTTGCTCATGCAGTTTTCTCCTATCTCTCTTATACTCAGGTGGAATAGATACATGTGTGCTTGTGAATGCAACAAGGAAGAACACGCATCGCAATGCCTTGCGGAAGGAAAGGTGTGTATGGTGTCATGGTCAGACCCACGCTTGCCTTTCAAGCTTGGAGAGCCGGGTTCAGTCCTTGCTCGGACCTCTACTCAAGGTCTTAGCATAATCGAAAGTGCTACCTTTACATTGACATCAGTAAATGGTTAGACTTTCGCGTCTTCTCGGATAAGGACGTTAAATCGTAGGTACCTCGGATCCCCTAGCAATGGACCTATTCCCTAATGAACAAAATTTTGATCTGGACAAGTCTAGACAAAAATTTCATCACAACTTGAAAGAGCATCACAAAATTAGTAATATTCCGAAGTTTCGTTGCGAAATGTTGTTAAAATGCGGATAATATAGTCCTGCGAAGTTTGCCGTTTTTCAGTCATTTTGTATTACGCACGGGAAATTGATACCGCTTTCTGAAAAAAAAGGTATCAATTTCCCGTGCGTAATACAAAATGACTGAAAAACGGCAAACTTCGCAGGGCTATATTAATCGCATTTTACAACATTTCGCAACGAAACTTCGGAATATTACTAATTTTGTGATGCTCTTTCAAGCTGTGATGAAATTTTTGTCTAGACTTGTCTAGATCAAAATTTTGTTCATTAGGGAATAGGTCCATTGGGCATAGTCGGCATAGCCTGTTGGGAAATCCGTTCACCAATGAGTGAGAAACTCGACAAACAAAATAAACAAATACACAATCAGTCCAATTATATATAAGTCAGTTCAATTAGCGAGATATCAAAATTCTGGGGACAATTTTCGCAATATTTTAATGATTACACTTTGTATTCTTAGGTGTGGAGTCATGATAAGTGCGGATGCGAATGTTCTCCTCGGGTTATCACTAGATGTAAGAAGTTAAATATGGTTTTAAATGAGCAAACTTGTCGCTGTGTATTAGGAGAAGTTGTGTTTGGAGCTAAAACAGGGACAGGTGAGACTTGAAAATATCTGGTGCCGCAGCAGAGTGCGAATTAACAAATATAAAACATTTTCCGTGTTGATATACAGTTATATCATAGAATAAAGATCCATATAGAAGGGCCACTTACGTCGGAAGCTTTGTAGTTTCTGTCCTCACGCATGTCGCATTACGCAAGTTGGCCACCATTGTCCTAGCCAGTCAATGACATTTTCTGGCCAATAAACACGCTGTACTGGCTGGCTGCTCCGCCTTCTGGCCAGTAAACTGCATATTTTTGCATAAAAAAACGAGGACACGCGTTGCATCGCTGAGTGGCCCTTCTGTTATTGATCTTTTTTCTGTGGTTATATCAACACGAGTGGAAATTGGGGAGTGTTTTCACACAATTTCGAGTTTTCTCAATTTCCACGAGTGTTGATATTAATAACTATATGTCAATACGGAAAAAATGTTTTATATTTGTTTTATAATATAGCACAAAGAAATATTATGAAACAAATTTTCCGTGTTGACAATGAGTTATATCAACACGGCTCTTAGCCAATCAGCGTTCAGAATTTACAAATGCTATATTATAATTAACGATATAAAAACACCGTTAGCAAAGTTAGGAAAAGGCCAAAAAAATTAGTGCCCGACAATTTCACGGGAAAAAATGGTAGGTCAACGTTTAGTTTTCGATATCAATATACCACGCATACGAAGGATATTAGTAAGCTGAAAAAACATCTGATGTATAATAAACATTTCATTTTCATCGTTTTTTTGCAGGACAAGAGAAGGGAATTTCGAAGACAATGCTAGTTGGAATCGTGTTTGGTGAACTGTTGCTATTGCTGTTCATATTTGATCTCATTTTATACATGACTAAGAAATGGGGTTTCATGTATTATATAAAAAAATCTGTGGGAAAAGCCGTTTCAAAAGGTGGGGAATGTTCATGATAAGACCCAGTGAGCTTCATATTATATGTCACCCTAGCGAGAGGCTCAAAACTAAGGCCAGCCGGTCAAACGTCGAACTTTTCATGCGCCAAACCTAATGCAAATGAAGTGAAACAAAGAACTTAGCTCATTATAACATTAGGTTCGGCGCATGAAAAGTTCGACGTTTGACCCTAGCCTAACACTTGCAATTTCTGCTACGATTTCTAGTGCGATTTTTGTCTTTGAATGAACGAGTCGATGAGTCATGAATGAATGCTCTGAGTATATATGTACCCTCATCTGAATATTCATAACTCGTCCACATGTATACATCAAAAGAAGAAAATGACACCTGAAATCGCATTGTAACCCTCTGCTGTCCAGAAGTTTAATTTGTCTATTCTGGATTTTAAAATAACAGCAAAAACGTTCTTTGATTTATAGACAGCCACGAATCACCTCCCCTCAGTCCGACTGCAAATCACGACAAATCTACTGGAAATCACGACACATCGACGTATGTGTGAAACATGTACAAAGAAGCAATTTATATCAAAATATTAGACAGAATATGTAGTTGTGTATATTTTATACTCTGCCAGTGTAGGTAGTGTTTGACTCAATCAATGTTTTCAATAGACCTTTCTGGTAATTACGTCACAACTACACTGTTTTCAACTTAGGACCATCTTAAATGGAATAGATTTCAAGTTTGTTCACAGGCTATGCACAGAGAAGCAGAACATCCTTTGTCAACACATGCATAAAAAAGAATTTTGGATTTTGACTATTAAAGGTTAAAATAAGCTTAAACATAAAAACGAGGCCGAGGGGCCATGGCCCCTCTTGGTCCCTCAGCCTCGTTTTCGTGTTTAAGCTTATTTCCACATTTATTGGTCAAAATCCAAAATCCTTTTTTATGCATGTGTTGACGAAGGACGTTGTGCTTCTCTGACCATAGCCCGTGAGAAACAAACTTAAAATCCATTCCATTTAAGGTGGTCCTAAGTTGAAAACAGTGTAGTTGTGACGTACAGCACCGGAAAGGTTTATTTCCTGACGACGGGCCTTCGCACAAAACGTTGATATAATCTCTTTCAGTCAGTAGCTGTCTATACTTATTTATAAATTTATATCAGGCTATTCCACGAAATTAGGTCGATTTACACAACACAATTTTTGCGTAAAACTGTCGCATGCAACCTGCTTACAACTTGAGTTGTACTGTGTAAATCAAACACACAACTCAGTTATGTGCCGTGATATACACAGTGCAACTCAAGTTGTAAGCAGGTTGCATGTGACAGTTTTAGGCAAAGTTGTGTTGTGTAAACTATTATTTTTCTATGTACAGTATATTAAAATATGGCAGGAAATCTGTACGGCGTTTGAGAAATCTAGACAAAAATGCAAATGCACTATAATTTATTCACGATAATGAGTATCATATGAGAATTTAGAGACACTGACAAAAACTGCACTATATAGTTATTATAATATTGGACAAGTATGTATATATAATATATTCTCTGCACTTGCATTACCACTGACCACCCGGTTCACTCATATATAATTAGCCTTTCTGCACGCCGCCATTTTTGGGGTAGTCTTTTCCAAATCTGAGATTGTACGCAGTGAACAAGGTATTTGAATAACTAGAATTGTGAGTATAATCATTATAAGTTCATTTACAGTTAAATGTTTGAAATAGATTTTTCACATTGCTTCCAAAAAAGTGCCCCCAAAATGGCGAATTTGTCCTTCGTGAGAAAGGGTAATTTAATGTTTGGTTACCTTTGTTCCATTCTATGCTTAAATTATCAGAACAGTTCAGATCTGAGCATGCGAGTTCTCTGAAAATGTGAATTGGGTGGTAGTGGTCAAATGCGAAGGAGTAAATTGAGCTGTAATGGGACGAACTCTCCTACATGACTACAGAATGATGAAGAAATCAAATATTTATTGACAAGATAAAATTAAAGTTTTAAAAACGTTATATCATTTAATGTCGTAAGAACCATTTCTTTTGCAAGCTGCTAAAAACTTTCCTCCTAAAATAGTTCAAAAGACAAAAAAATAAAGCGAGTTAGTCCTGCCGTAGCATGCCTGGATTTTAGCATTGGGAATTTGCTTTCGCTACATCTAGACCTTAAAACGGTTGTCCATTTTGCTGGGTTTCACTAAGCAGATGGTGGTTAAACCTGCAGTTATCAGAGTGAGAAAATAATGTTCATTCTTTTCATTATATGCAGTAGTCTTGTATTTGGAGGCAACCAACTAGAATTGAAGGATGTAGTTTAATTTTCTTATTCCGGTAAGGGACCGGTCATAAAGTAACTGCTAGGGTGGGCCGGAGGGAAGAATAGGTTTTCCAAAAACAAAATCCGGTAGCCCATCCTAAGAACCTAGAAACAATTTCAAAGGCCATCGTAGGTCATTCGATCAAACCATGCACTGAGTCACTTTCTCATAACTTGTGTAGTAGTTATAGAATAAGGTATGTATTGAGTGCAAACAGGCTATATGTGTTTCATGGCCCATCCATTTGCACAAAAAACAAATTGATGTCCCACCCAAACTGACGCAAATAATTTCATAGCCCATTCTTATTTCCTCCGGGCCATCCTAGCAGTTACTTTACGACCGGTCCCTAAGTTTGAACATTTCTGAATGTGAGCACCAACGCTGAAATCAGATTCAGATACCAGATAAAATGGAGGAAGAGTTATAAAGTAAAAAAGTTGGAAAACCAAAAATTTGAAAGTCAAAAACAAACCTCAAAGTTTAGATCAAACGTGGAGAATGTTCGCTCTTCACAGCTAGACACCAGTTTCTCAGAATTCTGATCGCGGTCTGTGAGCTCTTGAGAATACTTCTCCACTGCGTCATATAACTCATTACGCAACAAATCCACTTCCAAATCCCGACGATTTTCCGAATCACTCACGTAACCTAACCATCCATAGCACGCTAGCCCCAGGCTTTTTAAAGACAACCGGTACAACATCACTTCCTCGTGCCAGTCCTCTGCGCATACGCATTCCAATGACGTCATCAAGCCACTGACTGACCTCTCAATTCCTGCTAAACTGGAGTTACTATCATTCCGCTTGGAGGAGCTGCTATCTTGGGGGATAAGTCCATCCTTACAAACGGACGTTTCTCGTAGAGTTGTATGGCCAGTGATCAAATCTCGTAGGGAATTTTCCCCGAGGGTCGAATCCCGTAGAATACTTTTCCCGGGGGTCGAATCTCGTAGGACTGCTCTTCGAGGGGTGTGTTCCTCGGTTGTTCCAAACCAGTAACGTAGGTGCTTTTTAATATATTCCAATATTTCATACTGGTTAGCTCGGCTCGCCGTTTTTACTGCCCAAAAACTTTCGAGAATCAACGCGATTAGCATATTGATTATTATAAACCCTCCAAAAAACAGAGCCGAGAACAGGAAGAGGGGTCCGATGATGCGATTTGAATTCTGCAGCGACGGGAAATCGAAGTGTCCCATAAAGAGGCTACACAAGGCAGTAAACGTGGATCTGAGGTTGCTAAATATTTCCAGTTCTCTTGAGAATAGGAGGTAGCCAGAATGCACATACGCGAAAAATACGGTCAGAAATACGACAGAATAAGTTGCCAGAGGTTTCGCTATCTTTCCTAAGGTGTCTTGTAGAAACGACAATCTTCGGTTGAACCGCAGAAACTTGGTAGCACGTAGCCACGAAAGGAACACCAAAAATGCTATCAGGTTTGCGAGAATGTTGTCCACAAATACGACCGTGTCGAAATGTACAAAACTTTTATCGTTCTTCGCAAGTTTCCTTAAAAGTTCCTCGACCATTGCCAAGCGCAGAAAGAACACGACGATACACGATAATATTAGCAAAACTAAAATCCCTTGAAGTATATTCCAAAAGTTTTTAAAATACTCCCTTCTCCGCAGGTAGACTTGCTTTAATTCACGGTACGTGAACGCCAAAAAGAATAGAAAGACAAAAACGTGGCTGACGACTGTCAGCGTGTCGAAAATGCCAGTGACAGCAAAAAGTTTTGTGACTACAAAATTCGCTCGCGTTTCCATACCGTTTGTGGGTAAAATGTCCAAAGTGAGTTTAGCCAAACAGAACAGATTGAGTTCAGGATTATACACGTTAAATTTGATGTTGATTTCACGAGTTCGTGTGTTTAACCAGTTGTTGATTTTTGTAAAATGGTTCTGGTCACTTACAGTACGGTTTAAACAATTCATGTCCATGAATAAGGGCTTTTTAGTGTGGTTGGTTGAACTTACTAAAACAGAACAAAATTTCGAGTGATCTTTTTTAACATCAGCGCGAAAACATGATATTTCATGCTTCTATTACTACGAACATTTGTGGGCCAACTGGACGTTGCCTAAAAACAGATTGATTAAATTTTGGTTGAAATGTTTGGATGAAAAATTTTGTCTTGTTTTGCTGCAAACTGAAAGCGTAATTAGCCTATACACTCTTTTGATAATTACGTCACAACTACACTGTTTTCAACTTAGGACCACCTTAAATGGAAAGGATTTGAAGTTTTTTCTCATGGGCAATGCACAGAGAAGCAGAACATCCTTCTTCAACACATGCATGAAAAAATTTTGGATTTTGATCAATAAATATGGAAATAAACATTGAAACCAGATCATAACCCGGAGCCTCGTTTTCGTGTTAAAGCTTATTTCCACATTTATTGGTCAAAATAAAGAATTATTTTTCATGCAAGTGTTGAAGAAGGATGTTCTGCTTCTCTGTGCATAACCCATGAGAAAAAACCCTTGAAGTCCTTTCCATTTAAGGTGGTCCTAAGTTGAAATCAGTGTAGTTGTGACGTAATTATCGAAAGAGTGTATTGTATAATTTTATGGGTACGTCGTTTCCGAGTGTCCTCTAAGTCCAAGATAGATTTGATCCTGCATAATATTTTGAAAGGACGATTTACACTACACAACTTTTGCCTAAAACCGTTGTGTGTACCCTGCTTACAACTTAAGTTGCGCTGTGTAAATCAAGTATACAATTCTCCTATGACAACGTAAGCGAGTTGTGTGGTTGATTTACATAGTGTTTTAGGCAGTATCAATTTCATAATCATTGTCTGAAAGTAGTAATATTGAATTTGATGGCAAATAAATAAAATGATTTACACAGTACAACTCAAGTTGTAAGCAGTTTGCATGCGACAGTTTTAGTAAATATTTTTGCATTGTAAATCGGCCTTTGTTCAAGTAAATTGAATAATAAAACTTACTTACCCTCTCCGTGCCGTGTTTGATACAATCTCACAGAACCGACAAGATAAAAATGACCAAATACCGTATTTGTTTCATCTGAGGATAATCTCGGTTTGTTGGGCGAGAAACATAATGCATCCACGAATGTGCCATTGATCCAAGTTAGAAAATCCTTCATAGTGGAAATCTGGTAAATACAAATGTGAATTGAGATGAAAACCAAGCACAGTTGAAAATTTTGATTAATCTCAAGCACAGTTGAAAATTTTGATTAATCAACTACATACGTAAAATCTCACAACTTGTCAACAAGATGTGTTCGCAACATGTTTGTAGCAAGCTTGTCAACAAGTTGTAACAATGCTGTTATAATGTTATTTCACAAGTTGCTACAAGGTTGTCACTCAGGACGATAACAAGTTATTCCAACAACTTGTAACAAGTCTGTTGAGCTCAACAACCTTGTAGAAAGTTGCGAACAAGCCGTTGACAACTTGTCAAGAAGCTGGAAACAAGCAGTGCGAACACATCCTGTTGACAAGTTGTTGGAAGAGCATTGCTACAAATCTGCTGCAGGTTTGTTACAACTTGTGCGTTTGTACGTGTGTGCTTATTAAAATTAAACCAGTTACCTGTTCGAAGCTAACTGTAGCATTAGTTGGTTCAACAAGTAAATCTCTCATAGTTTTGTAGACTTGGAAAGACATCGGATTCTTGTTTTTGTAAGTCACTGCTGACAAGCAAAACAGGAAGAGGACATAGAGACATAGTTCTCTCAAGAGAGCACCAGTACGAAGTTCCTTTAACCTTTAGAAAAATAACACAGCAACGTTAGGATAGAAGAGAATTAATAAACAATTATTGAATGAGGTTGAGTATAATATCGAGAATTATCAAGGCCAAGGTTTGTGTTTGTGTGAGGCCTTGATAATTGTCGATATCATACGAAAACCGAATTCAATAATTGTTTTATTATATATTCAAAAGCTAGAATGAAAGAAAGCAAGAACCAACACCAGTGGGTAAATATCTAGCTTCGGCGTAGAAAAGCTTCAAAATTTCTGCCAATTCAATGGCGTCTTGAGGATAATTTCTTTGTTTTTGTTTAACTCTTTAAGATACTCCTCAAACTTTTGCTGACCTCTTTGTATATTCGCTGTCTTTTTCGGTCAATAACTTGAAAATTTCTTGATAATTTAACGTTGCGAACCGGCTCAAAGTCATTTTGTTTACGCTTTTAAAAATATGGAATTTTCGCGCGCTTTTTAGCAAACAATGGACCGCGCCGGGGCTTGGTAACCACAGTGTGCAATAATACTTTTTTGGGCCGAACTTTGGTCCAAAAAAAGAACTATTGCACGCTGATGGCGTCTGCAGCTTGTAGCAAGCTTGTCAACAAGCTGTAACAATGCTGTTATTTTATCAAGTTGCTACAAGGTTGTCACTCACAACTTGTTGACAAATTGTTGAATTGCAGGACCATCGATGACAAGTTGTTGGAACAACTTGTAACAAGTCTGTTGAGCTCAACAACCTTGTAGCAAGTTGTCAACAAGTTGTTAACAACTTGTCAACAAGCTGGGAACAAGCAGTGCGAACACATCCTGTTGACAAGTTGTTGGAACAGCATTGCTACAAATCTGCTGCAGGTTTGTTAAAACTTGTGCGTTTTTACGCGTGTACCACAGGAGACAACATTGCACTAAAGAACGCATACCTTTTGTTTCTTGCCATTTCAAGATCTTTTCTGTCTGGAGGTTTTGAATGGAACGTGTCACTGTAATCATCCACTTTTGATTCTACAGAAAAAATGAATGAAATTTTTCAAGAACTAACCAGTATCTATGAACATATTTTCATGCAAACATGCGCGCTATAAGTTCAGAAGCCCTTCTTCATCCTACCTAAATCGTCTGTATTTTGCACAGTATGACGATCCACAATCGTTCTTTCATAGTCTTTATTCTCGTGTTCAGAATTCTGCGGTTTCTTTATTATTAGCGCAACAACAACAGCTATTGAAAAAACCTACAAAAATAAACATAGTGAAAATATGAATATTTCTTATAGAGACACTCTACATATCAAAGAACTGACGGTGGATAGACAACAATGGAGGACAAAAATCTGAATAGCTGACCCAAAATCAGACAGGAACGAGTGCTGGGTAATAGGAAAAGCGTTCAACTTACTTTAAGTGGTTCAGAGATTAAGACATCTTGTACAAACGAGACAGTCATTGAACTCAACCACTGATAAGATACCACTTTACCAAACTGTAATCCATAGAGAACCACAAAGAATACAGAGATCACACAAGTCAGACATACAAGTGTCCACGCGACATAAATATACCAGTAAGGCAGCTGGATAGATGTTGAGGACCCTTTGGGTTTCCTGGAAAGCTTGATGGCGTCATTTGAGATTTGAACTGGAACATCCTGGTTTCTCAATGAATTCTCGGAATGCGACCTGGGAACCTGGAACCAAATAAAAATATTTCATAGCAAAATAGGTGAAGGGTCTGTTGAGAGATTTAGTTTCTCCCTGTGTCAACATTTATAAAGTCGACCACCAAGAGGAAATGGGCATCTAAAGTAATAGACAATTGCCATTATAGACTAATTGTTTTATCTTGGCAAAAAGTATATTCTCGGAAAGAGCATACTAAAATGAGTAAAATTGCAAAGTTTGGTTGCGAAATGTTGTAAAATGCGGAAAATATAGCCTTGCAAAGTTCGCACATTTTGTATGCTTTTGTATTGCGTGCGGAAATTGCTACCACATTTCGACCCAAATGTGGTAGCAATTTCCGCACGCAATACAAAAGTATACAAAATTTGTGAACTTTGCAAGGCTATATTTTCCGCATTTTACAACATTTCGCAACCAAACTTTGCAAATTTTACTCATTTTAGTATGCTCTTTCTAACTGTGGTGATTTATTTGCATCTCCTCGCCTAGTTTGAAAATTAGTCTTTTATGGGAATTGCCCATTGTAGAACGGTTTGGAAGATGGATTCGCAGTTTCGATTCCTGCCAGACTAAGCAGGGCCGGATTAACGTCGCGTGAGGCCCGTGGCAGATTCTAGCGCAAGCCTCCCCCCCCCCCTCGTTATGAAAACCATTGAATTCAAAGACACACAAAATTGTTAAATAATTGTTTTCAATATTTCAATTGATTGGCATCAATTGTAAACGAGACAATGACCTGCCTGGCCCAGTCGTTGGGTCAACAAGTATAAACAGGATCATATAACAGCTCTGCGCAACTGGAGATTACATGGATACGAGTATTGCATATTTTCCTGGGGCCAACTGCCAAGCCTAGGGGCAGAAATGCGCGAGGTCCCTAAATTCGCGAGGCATTTAAATTCGCGAGGCACCTAAAACGGGCGTGTCGTAATAGAAAATGGGTGTGTTCTCGTAAAAAATGGGCGTGGCACATTAAAGCGCGAGGCCCCAATAAGCGTGAGGCCCGCGGCATATGCCGCATCTGCCACGTGGTTAATCCGGCCCTGTGCCAGAGACCTATAGTTGTATTTTTCACAACTGCTCCCGGTTATATCTAAATAAATGTATAAAATTCACGGCGGAAATTTCCACCTACAAAATCCTTCTGCAAAATTTTCTCACCTTGTCTCGCACATCCACATCATCATTGTAAAAATAATCACTAGCTCTCCTCGTCGTCAGCGAACTTGGATATAGTCTCGACTTAAAACAACAGAAAAACATTTCAAAGAACCACCATAGTCTAGTCTTCTCTCTTCTAGTTCCCAACTCCTCTTTGCAGGGCTTCGCTTCCACATTCCGAAATATCCACACGATTCCCGCATTGATAGGGACAATGATCAATGCACTCATCACCCCAACTCCTAGTTCGCGTAAGCCGAACATGAACGGTCCTATAATTAAGCATGATTCGGGCGAGCTCGCCTCGGTCTCCTGGTAGAACATCGCGTTGGCAAGCATTGTCGTGTACAGTAAGCTGAGACAACATGATAACCGCTGAACCAATGTGAAACGACTGTCCACAGGCCTTGACAGGAGTGAAAACCAGAGATGACGGTCTTTCAAGTTACTATGAATTGTGGAATTAAAGAGCCTTTTGAATTGGGTTATTTCGTCCTTGCATGCTGAGAAAAGCAGCTTCTGTATTCCTCCTTCATTATTCTCAACTGCTAACCATGTTTCGTTGTAGAATATGCAACTCTTTTTATCATTAAGGTCACGGACCACAATTTTATCCAAAAACCAAGATGGCGCCGCCCCCGTATTGTCATGCCATATTTGGAGATAGCTGACGTCACCAACGGGATCACGTGAGCTGATGAGGAACGTGTCTATAGCTGATCTTTGAAAGCATTGCCTCATGGGATCGTGCAGTAGTCTAGGACCCAGGTCTCCCTCGGTGCCCCTTAGCGAGATCGAGACATGCGCAGAAGTGCCAGCGTCATACACGGAGCCGGTGTAGATTATTACTTCATAGAAGTACTTGTCTGATAGCTTGTTGCTAGGCAACTCTGTTACACCAATCTGAAGTCAATTTAAATGACTATGTTAAATGGTTTTAGTATCACAGTGGCTGGTACTTGTACTTCTGTGACTGGGGTTTGATTTTTGCAATATACAGTTGTCTGATTATAATTTCACCTCAGCCACATGTGAGAAGAGTGCTTCCAGTTTGACTCTACCAAACATCACAGGTTTTCTCCGTGTTCTGCGCTACCTCCTGTGGTAACACTTGATCAATAAGACATAATCCTTACTGGACCTCTAGGAAGAACAGATTAGAACTGATAGAGCTATCCAGTATAAATAAAATTAGTTTAGTTTAGGTTTCCTCCTGTAGTAACTGGCTGGATCAATAAGACATAATCCTCACTGGACTTCTAGGGAGAACAGTTTAGAACTGAAAGAGCTATCCAGCAAAAATAAAGCTACTTTAGTTTAGGTTTCATCCTTCAGTAGTAACACTGGATCAAAGAGATGATCTTTACTGGACCTCTAGGAAGAACAGTTTAGAACTGATAGAGCTATCCAGTATAAATAAAGTTAGTTTAGTTTAGGTTTCCTCCTGTAGTAACACTGGATCAAAGAGATGATCTTTACTGGGTCTCTAGGGAGAACAGTTTAGACCCGATTATTAACAGTTTAGACTTGGTTATTATATGAACCTGGTTATTCAGAATAAATAGAGCTAGTCATCTTACTTTGTCTGAGTCTTTACGGTCTCGTCTTCGTGCACAGACAATCAGAATCAAGTAGATTCCAAACACTGTCGAGACAGCAATCAATGCCAGTGGGTTGTTGCTGATATCAGCGTCGAATACGTAGTGAAAATTGATCTTGTTCGGAGTGGGAAACACTCCAGCTAGGGAAAGAGATCAAAAGGTTAAATGATAATTTACTTATAATCAGATCAAATATAAATAAATAAAGTTAGTTTAGAATAGATAGATAGATAGATAAATGCAAACCTCCAACGGCAATTTTAAACATCTTTTTCCTGCTAAATTCCGCTGATCTCGTCAGGCGTCTGAAACGATCGGTTTGGCCTGGCTGGCAAATGCAGTGAGTTCTTTCCAAAGATGTGAGGGAACCAACCTAGAGATAAAATAGACACCACTTCATATTAGCTACTTGAAAAACTCTTGTCGAAACAACAATAGGTGGGTGGGACAGTTATACAATGACGTCTCTTCGTCCTTACCTCACATCCAGCACTCGTCCAAGTCCCCCCTCCTTCCTCTAACAACAGACATTTCACCCAGGCTACATGTAAACTATAATTCATATTTCCTAGTCCCATTCCCCCACTCCATGCCACACCGAGAAAATATCCATGGGACTCTGGAGACTGCGTGATATTACGTAACACATCACGTGACACTACCCACGTGTAATGCCCGCTGGTCAAATTGTTTGCGGTAAACTCGGTTTTGAGGCTGTATTTTTTCAAAGTTGGCCGCTGACCAACACTTAGAAAGGCACGCAGGCTCAGCGATCTATCAACTACGCTGAATATCAATACAAGAGCAGCGTCCGATGTAGTTCGATTAAATCTATGAATTTTAAAAGAATTTCGAGAATGGATAACAAAGAATTCGTCCGCCTTGTGATCCCGTGGTGGACTTTTGACAAATATGGAAAGACCAATGTCGCTCATATCGACAGGTTGTCCAAAAGAGTCTTTCACGTTAATACGTAATATATTCGAGTTGATTTCTTCAGCAGTTGTGTCGTAAAGGTTGCTGGGTGTTTTAGACAAATCAGTAACCTGTAAAATAGAAAAACAGAATGAGCAGTTAAGTAAATAAAATAAACTGCCGTGTTTTGTGAACTGGGTTGTACTGTGTAAATCAAGCAAAAACAAACTCCGACAGTTTTAGGTAAAAGCTGCGTAGTGGAAATCGGCCTTTATCAAATTGTATATAATTTTAATAACATAATACCGTCACGCCAAGAACATTGCGTTCAGTAAAGTTCGTATTTTCCACCAAACGACTGGAATCTTGAAATTGAAGAGGAAATTTTGTACCATTGCCCCGATTGTTCTTGATAAGATCTTCAATACTTCCCTTCGCCAGGCATATATCATAGTTGTCTGTCTTGATTCTAGTGGACTGATCTCCAGCTAACACTTGTTGTAGTAGAACGTTGTTCACTTCATCTATTGTTTGGAAAGTGTTTTGAATGCTCTGTGCCTATAAAAAAACAATAGACATTAATTAGCATGTTTAAACTAAACATAGTTAAACCAAACTAACTTTATTTATACTCGATAGCTCTATCAGTTCTGAACTGTTCTCCCTAGAGGTCCAGTAAGAATCATCTCTTATTGATCCAGTGTTACTACAGGAAGAAACCTAAACTAAACTATACAGGATAGCTCTATCAGTTCTAAACTGTTCTTCCTAGAGGTCCAGTAAGAATCATCTCTTATTGATCCACTGTTACTACAGGAAGAAACCTAAACTAAACTAACTATATTTATACAGGATAGCTCTATCAGTTCTAAACTGTTCTCCCTAGAGGTCCGGTAAAGATAATCTCTTATTGATCCAGTGTTACTACAGGAAGAAACCTAAACTAAACTAACTTTATTTATACTGGATAGTTCTATCAGTTCTAAACTGTTCTTCTTAGAGGTCCAGTAAGGATCATATCTTATTGATCCAGTGGTACTACAGGAGGAAACCTAAACCAAACTAACTAAATTGTTCGCCCTAGAAGTAATAAAAGTCCAAACCTTATTGATGTAGTGTTGCTACAGGAGGAACCCTGTGTTGTTTAGTATAGTCAAACTTGAGCTTTAGCCGTAACAATCAACCATACAACTGTTCCATTATACCTGACCTTATATCAAGTAACTCACCTTCATATCAGCGAAAGTCACCGTGATGTTTGTCGAGATATTTGTTCCCATGGTTACCGCATTGACTGACGTCAGCAGCACGGCTCCGACAACGTTGCTGAGAACTCTGTGGAGACTGTCGCCCACCACGCGGATGTCATGTGATGTATTAGCCAAACTTTCAATAACGGGATTTGTTCTTTGAATGGTTTCTGTCACTTCGTTCTAAATAAGATAGCAATAACAATGGTACTGGGTTTTAGTGAGCATAACGGAGCAGTCGTACACGACTACTGCATATAATGAATGATAACTCACTCTGATAACCGCAGGTTGAACTGCTATGCAGAGTAAAGTCATTTACCAAGTCAAATCCGAGTCCGAGTCAATTCCAAACCAGAGTCAAACGTCCGAGCTGAGTCACGTAAAAACGAAATTGAATAAAATTCACAATCGAGTAGGGTTAGGAGTAGGGTTAGAAGTAGGGTTAGGAGTAGGGGTAGGGTTAGGAGTAGGGGTTAGGAGTAGGGTTAGGGTTAGGAGTAGGGTTAGGAGCAGGGTTAGGGAGGAGTAGTGTTATGATACTAAGTCATTGAACTACAAAGACTGCTAAACAGTGACTCGGACATTTGACTCGGATTTGACTCAGATTTGGATTTGACTCAGGCTCGGATTTGACTCGGGCTTGGATTTGACTCAGTTAACCGACAAACCCAACTGCTGCACGATAATGAACGAGGGGCCTTCGCTCAACACGTCGAAGTTCTCCTTGTATTTTTAGGTAGTTGTATCCTTATTAATCCGCTGCTTTCTTCCTAGTGAAACATATCCTATACCTGCAACTCCAAACTTATTTCATCAGGTTTTGCAGTGAGTGCTTCAAATGCATCGCTAATTCCCCGAACATGCTTTAACTCCGTGGTATTTGTAGCTGCTAAAATCCGACCAACTTTCAAACGCACCTGAGAAAAAAAAAATAAACTTGTAATTCAAAAACAATTACATGCAACGCAAGTGACTTGGAAACAAGTTACTGTTTTTAAGATTAGTTACCTCAGACTGGGCCGTAAAATTTTGTCTTGAAGCGTTCAAGTTGTTGTTCATGACTGAACAAAGTGATAAAACTAATCCAAATACTTCGTCGTTAGCGCGAGAGTCGGCTGCTCTCTGAACATCGTCGATAACGCGCGAATAATTCACAGTAGTTGGAAGGAAAACCTAAATTTGAAGGGAAGAAAAATTGATAAAATAAACACCATTAAATCAAACAATCATTAAACTAAACTAACTTTATTTATACTGGATAGCTCTATCAGTTCTAAAATGTGATTGTCACTGACCTATACACTCCTACTAAACCAATAAACCAAAAAAATCAACCAAGATTGATTGATTGCTTACAGACCTTAACAGAGCGCAGAATGGTTGTACTAAATAATCTTCCATCAGCCACCTTAACAATGACATCGAGTGAGAAGTTTCTCTCAGCTGCGCCCACTGGCAGATATATGGACACACTGGACTGTGTTCCGGATGCCAAGTAAGTTTGATAGTCATCATTCTGTACTTCTGTTAAGAAAACTTATCATATTACTACGGCTTGCTAAACTAAGAAACGTCACCAGTGTAGGTAGTATTTTTACATTGTTTGTGTCAGAACTACCTGAACAGATTAATACAGAGACTACCTCTCAATGGCCCAGTACGCATCCGGATTGGTTAATAGTAGCGATAGAATCTTACTATTAACAACTCGACGAGCAAAAGACCATCGTCAGGAATTTAGAAGTGTGGTTCCGCTCAACTTTTTGACGAAGGGACTTCGCTCGAATCATCCAAAGGGTTTTAATCTTTTCAGGTAGTTCAGACACAAACCACGGCAGCTTATTGTAGAATACTACCTACACTGGACCACCACGTTTGAGATATCTTTTTCAGGTAGTACAGACACAAACCACGGCAGCTTATTGTAGAATAGTACCTACACTGGACCACCACGTAACTTGAGATATTTTTTCAGGTAGTTGAGACACAAACCACGACAGATTATTGTAGATGATGTATCCACGATGGAGACATAGTTTCACATAAAGATGGGTAAATAATTTTGATAAAACAACATACCGATTAAATATGAGAGTGGCTTATCTTTATCCCACCAACCAGAGCAGAAAACATTAAACAAAGTTTCCAATGCAAATCCTTCTTCAGGCTTCACAGAGCAATGTCCATTTTTTGGTGGACTGTTCACGTTGAGTAAATAATCGACATAACCAGCATTGGCAGAACCGAGCCTCCACGCCCTGCAACGCACTCTATACGTAGCTCCAATTTCTAAAACATTCTCCTTCGTTGCAATGTTAGCGCCTTGAAGACCTGTTGAGGTTTTTGTTTGAAAGTTTGGCAGCTCTTGGCAAGAGTGTATTGTTCCGTTACAGATATATATAGACCATTGATAGTAAAGTCTTGTGTCAGTTTGACAGTTTAAGCATTTGCTTTCCAACAGTAAACGTTTGCTTGGATTTATTGTTTCTTTACAGTTCACAATACATCTATAGAGAAACAGAATATGTGAAATATATTTTGGTGTTACTGTTCTATCAATTTGCTTTAGTTTCTGAGAATGCAACATTCTATATCCATACTGCCCTCCCCTCTGCCTTTCTTTCTTTCTCACCTACCTCCCTTTGTCCCTCCATCATTCCTTCCATCTCACTTCCTTTCTTTCCACCAATCTTTCCTCCCTCCTCTTCACTCATCTTGCTCCCTCTCCTTTCCCATCTTCACCCTTCTTTACCCTCCTTTACTTCCATTCCTCCCTCACTCTCTCCCTACTTTCTTTCACCCAACTTCCTCCCTCTCTCACCCCTCCTCCCTCCCCCCTCCTCCCTCCCTCTCTCATCTCTCCTCCCTCCCTCTCTCACTCATCCTCCCTCCCTCTCTCACTTCTCCTCTCTCACTCCCCCTCCCTCCCTCTCTCACCCCACCTCCTCCTCCCCTCACTCCTCTTCCCTCCCCCTTTCACCCATCCTCCCTCCCTCTCTCACCCCTCCTCCCTCCCTCTTACCCCACCTCCCTCTCTCCCCCCAAACTCAACCCACCTTAAATCCAACGAGGGGACAGGCCCGTCAAGTACAAACACGTTTTGCTCAGCATACGACTTACGGATACCTTCCCTGACCACCAAGCTAAATACATACTCCTGGTTCGGATAAAGATTTCCAGAATCTAGCACTAAAACCAAAGTATTCCCCATAACACTGCTGCCATTATGGGAACACCCAGGTGATGACATATTGATAGCCATGGGATACGTTGCCAGGCGACATAACCATGAGAAATGAAGCTTTGCAGGAATATTTCCCAAGTTGCGCGATCCACTTCCGTCAAGAACGAACTTTTCATTCCATGGAACGGACCGAGATATACCGCCTGAAAGAAATTGTACGATTTAAGGGTGCCAGATTGTGTCGATGGCATAGTTCCACCTATGTGATCAGGGTTTGATTTCTGCAATAATGCAGTTGTCTGATTATAATTTCACTTCACATGTGAGAAGAGTGCTTTCAGTAAAACAATAAAACATCTCAGGTTACTCCAGATTCCTCCTGTGGCAACGTTGAATGAATAAGAGATGACATTACAGGAGCTCTAGAGAGAACAGTTTAGAACGGATAGAGCTACACAATATCAAGCTAGTCCAGTTTAGTCAGTCAACATAAATTATCAAGGAACACATCTTACCTTTAATCCGCGCGATAAGTGAAGGTCTGGACACCTCAAACCACGTATGATTTGATCCAGTAATGTTCCTCAAATCCCGATCTATCCCAATAAAACCAACTGTAACTCTAACGACATAAATTCCAGTTCCAAAATTTGACCCTGCTATAGAAAACACATTGGTTAAATAGTCACTAGAATTCTCATATATCATAATTTCACGAAGATCACCGACTACTACTTGTGGACCATAACCGCCAAACTCCCACTCAAAAACTGACCAATGAATAAACACCATCTTAGCCACGTGACATTTATGGCTGACGTGAGCATCGAGTACGAGTACTCCCGACCCTCTGACGATCGTAGGCCGATCTTTGAAACCACCTCCAGTAATATTAACTCCAACATTCTCGCAAGCTTCGTCCCAAATAAAAACCTCGACAGAGCGTTTGATTGTACTCACGTGGTTCCAGCGTGTCAACGTAACAGTATAATTTCCTCGTTGCTCATACGCATGCGTATAACTAGAGAGATTTTGATAGTCGCTCCCACATGCGGAAGGGCCAAAAGTTACAGACGTGTTGTCGCCTAAATCAAGGCGAAAACAAGATGGAATATTGTCATTTTTAACCGAGAATGTAACCATTGTCGGATCCTTGAAATAAGTCGGCTGTATAACACTTAAGTTTAGGTCATCAAGTGTTTCCTCGATACAAACAAGCCTGAAGCATTTTTCATCCAGAGATGAACTCTTGACAACCACCGTCACATTATAACATCCACTGTTCGAAAACACTTTCTGAATAACGCGTTTTTGTCCTAGACTCTCGTTCCCAATTTTCCAATCATAGCCGACGTCATATCGATCCTCTTCAATTTCTAATTTTATAACTTTTGTGACGGGAAAATACAGGTTATTCGGCCCCAGGCCGTTGTGAAACACGGAACCGTTTTTATAGCTAGCACTTATGCCGCTCAATGGATGGTTTTGTATTTTGACTTCGAGTACAAGATTCTGACTGCTGATATGATTGGAGATATTTGTAGTTATATTATAAACACCAGGAGAAGCATATTTATGGTTTCCAAGACACATTTGAGAGTTAAAATCAGTAATTATAAGGGTTTGATTTGAATTGTCGCCATGTCTGATTAAAACTGATGCATTTGAAGGCGGATGAGTATTTTTAGTTAAATTTAAACAAACAGCAACGCTTAAAGAAGGGCATCTTCTTGGTTGAGCTGTAAATATTTCAATGTTTGTGACTGAATATTGAACTGTTAACGGTCTTAGAGCGGTAACAGTGGTTGAGCTTACATAGTTCCATAAATGTACAATAACTGAGTATTGACCAGCGGTGGTGTAAGCATATGTTATCGTTGTTGTGGTAACGTTACTACCCAGATATAGATATCTACCATTACAATCAATACAGTATTTCACCCGTGAGCCTTTTGACAACTTCAGAGTAAACGCCACTGACTGGTTTACGGCGACAAAAGAACTTGGATTCATTAAAGAAACATTTCCGATTGGCTCATCAACTTCGGCACGCGCCGTTACCGAGTCCTCCCCGAGCTCGTTACGGCAGGTTACGAAAACATTGTAAGCACCTACTTCACGATAACGGTGAGGGATAAAGCTCTTCACTTGTGGATAAGAAGTGGTATGTGTTGTATTATCCCCTAAATCCCATTCACAACTGAAGAAGTTACCGTAAGGGATGACCAACTCAAAAGTTGATGTTTCTCCAAAAATTGCCGGATTGACATTTAGGGTTAGATTTTGTAAAGGTGAAACATCCTCAACTATTATACTCGTATCCAGAACTGTCCACGTAAAACTTATATGATTATAGCATGTGATATTCACATGATAACTGTCTGGCTTGCGATAAGTGTGGTTAACTGTTAGTTCTGCACTCGTGACAAACATCTCATCTCCAAAATCAAACGTGCACATCACATGTGTGCCACGTGTCAGAACACGTTCGACTGACACCTCGCTTAAGGTTGCGATGTATAAAACCTCAGCATGGCCCATATTCAGTAGTCTAACTTCTAAACCTTGCACAGGGATTTCAACCAGAACATGTTCTGTTAAACTCACGTTTGTTTCCAAGGGACTTGAGACCACAATCTTGACTTCATAATGACCAGCGGATGTGTAGGTATACGACAAATTATTTCCGATAAAATTGTCGGACACTGGTCGAAATTCAGCAATATGACCGTCGTCAAAATTAACTGAAAATGTGACATTTGAACCAAACGCACAGTGCCACTTTAAGATTATTGGTTTTCCCAAAACAATTGCTCTGATTGGTTGAATATGGCAACCTCTGATTGGCTCTAATATCTCAATACTAGCATTCACTGCGAACTTACTCACAGAATTGCTGGCATATAGGATAATAAGGTATTGACCGGGATAAGTATATGCATGTGTGGTACTAGATTTCAAAGAGTTCATCGTACTATTATCCCCAAAGTTCCAAGAGTATGTAACCCCAGTTCCATTATGGAGACCAGTGGTCAGGAACACAGTCGAGTTTGTTTGGGATAGTTTGAGAACATTGATAGTAAATGGGGTTATTGGGCAGTCGACTGTTATGGATAACGTTGGGGTTTCAGGTGATGTGATATGGTATACACCGGATTTTTGGTAAGTGTGATAAAGTTCAAATTTTAACGGTTGTCTTATGTATGCTGTTAGGGCATGAGCACCGAAATGCATCTTGGTATAACTGTTCGCTTGTAGTTTTGTTCCAGTCTGTCCAATAGCAGGGTATTCTAGAGTCGTTTGCGTTTCATCTTCAATGTACCTTAACTGGCCTCCATCTGAGGACCACGCTATCACATCATTTCTCTGGAAAGTTACGATTCTTGCAGTAGGGAAAATATGATAACCAATGCTCGGAATGACGACGACATCTTCAGATATCAGTTCGTAACCTACGCTCGTCGTATTATAGCGAGGTGTGGCAAAATAGTACGGAGTATTTTGAGTGCCGTTCGAAGGTGTGCATTGCCCCCAACAAGTTAGACAATATGTTTCGTCAATGTTGCATGTCGTGGTATCGAGAATGTTGTTTGAATTGTTTAGTTTAGAGAGACACAAGTCCTGAGAAAATTTCTCTGTTGCGTTGCAGTAAGGACGAAGTATCTAGAAACGAAAGTAGATTTCACTAAGCACTATTGTGCAGCAGATGGTGCTGCAGTTATCAACGTGGGAAATATTGTTAATTATTTTCATGGTATCAAGTAGATTTGCATTTGGTGGCAAATAAATAGAATTATATAATAGTAAGTGTCAAAATCATAGACGGATTTCCAGATTTTGCTCTGGGGGAGCATTTACATTTCTGAACGGGATGCAATTTTCTCTGGTGGGGTGGAAAAACTTTCTTAGCAGAAAATCCGTGTATGGTCAAACTTTGTGAAGTTGATTACCACCTGCTTTAGCGCACCACTGAAAGCCAACAATGATTCCTGTGTTCAGTACGTAAGATATTTTATTTGCAATGTTACCTGAACTCTGATCCTACCAGGTTTTTCAGCCACAACAGCCCAATGAGATACTTCACCAGCTTGAAGATTTAAAGCAGTTGTTATGACGTACGTAGAGAGTGAACTATTCATCGTCTCCGGTAGCACAGACTGGGTTTGGTTCAATTCATTGTGTACATTTACTGGAATATCTATAAAAAGAAAATATTACGTTCCTTGTATGTTTGCCATTTGTAAAGGTTCTGTACACTGGCATTTGAAAAGAAAGTTTTGGCATTTAAAAAAAGAGTTTTGGTATTTGAAAAGAGAGTTTTGCTATTTGAAAAGAGAGTTTTGGTATTTGAAAAGAGAGTTTTGGTATTTGAAAAGAGAGTTTTGGCATTTGAAAAGGGAGTTCTGGCATTTGAAAAGGGAGTTTTGGCATTTGAAAAGGGATGGCGTAAACGCCAAGATTCTCGAACACAAAGGATAGCGTATCGTAGGAAAGGAAACGACAGTTTGAATTGAAACTTCATGAAACTCACCAAAGTTAACATTTTCCGACACACCATCACCGTATCTAAACTGAACAGTCCCAGAACCCGCACGCCATTCTCCACGACAAACGATCTCGTTACCAGGAACAGACGCGGCTGGACACTGAAACTGCACATTCTGAAATCTATCCACCACATTCACTGTCCGTACAACTGTAGTTTGACGACTGAAGTTGTTTCTGGCATTGACTTCAATCATATGTTCACCTTTCTCCATAAAAATATGAGATAAAGTAGACCAATTTGACCAAGAGGAAATAATTTCTCCATCGATTTTATATCTAGTAATTTAGAGAAAAATATGTTGGTGCTTTATTATTATTTGTTAGTACGTTCGAGTTGTGATGTCACAGCAGTTAATATATCTGCTTTCATCTGATGTTCATTCAAACCTCAGTCACATGCGAGAAGAGTGCTTCCAGTTCGATTCTACCAAACACGACAGGTTTTCGCCAGTTACTCAAGTTTCCCGCTCTGTTAACAGTGGACCAATATTCAACAATAGACTGCCGATATTGGACTTCTACAAACAACAGTTTGGAACTGATAGAGCTATCCAGTATAAATAAAGTTAGTTTAGGTTTCCTCCTGTAGTAACACTGGTTCAATAAGAGATCAACCTTACTGGACCTCTAGGAAGAACAAACAGTTTAGAACTTACAGAGCTATCGAGTACAAATAAAGTTAGTTTAGTTTAGGTTTCGTCCTGTAGTCACAGCAAAAAAAAATTCCAACAATGGATTTTTTAATGTAAAAACTGAACTCTTACCATTATTGGTTATTATAGATTTCCCGTATGGTAAATTGGTAAAAACCACGATGTTTAATATTTAGTAGGAAAATACCATTAATGGTACATATTAGACGTCATTCTTTTAACAATTTACCGTATGGGAAATCTATAACCAAAAATAATTTTTACATGGATAATGTACATCGCAAATCTGTTGTAAAAACCATTCAAAACCCATAATGGAAATTTTAATTTTTTTCCTGTGTATATATATATATATACACGGTAGATTAATAGACCTTTCTCATAATAACTATTTTTAGTCAATTCCAGCCACTGTGAACGAACTTTAATTACAAGTCTATTGAAACAATAGTCTTTATCAGACTATGTCACTAAATTGACTGGCCCGGCCAATGGGAAAGCAAATAAAACAAATATTTTTTCAAGAACAAATAATATTTGGCAATAACTAAATTCAGTTACCACAAAAAAACACGAAATTTTACTGCGAAATATTGACGGTTTATGTGTATTGTAACTGCATACATGCATTGCTGTGACAATGCGTCAAATTGAAATTGTGTCAAGGTTTACTTTTTAAGATAGCTGGCACTCCAATATACAGCAGGCGTTGTGCAAGTTGGTATGGTTAGGATTAGCATTTACAGACTGAAGTTTTAGTTCTTTTGACTTATAATGTCGATAACATTCTATTGCTTCTGCTCACAACAAAAATTTTCTGGATACCCTAATATAACTCACTTTTCATTATTTTCCCGTGGCTAAACTTTAGTTCAATTAGATCAACATTTTCACGGCATTTGTTTACCCTACCAATTATGCAGAACGGATATAGTAAGAACCCCATCAGCAACCAAATCTGATCTAAACAATAACCAAACACTAATCCTTGATCTTATGCCACAATCTAACACACCTAATCCTAATCCAACTCAAACCCTAGTCAAATCTTAATCCAAACAGTAAACCTATCTAGAACTGCTCTGTATTTCATCACACCATGGGGTTAAATTAAAAAATCGCATTTCAAAACCTCCACAGGAAGACTTCACAATTGTGCTATAATTATAAGAAGGTATATGAAAACAAAGACAAGCCAAAATACAAGTGAGTCTTTTGTTGAAGGTTGTTTGGATGCCAACTGTCTGATGGTTAGAAAAACGTAGAAAGAACCAAGAGAACAAAATATTTATTGGATTAAGTGTGTATACAGAAGAATAATACAGTCACTGAAACGAATTATGAGTTAGAGTATGACCATTGGTGAAATTCTTAGATCATAACCAGAAATGGCTAAACGCACAATCGGAATGTTTGGAGTCATATTATAAGGAGTAATTTTGGCAATCGTCGAAGAGTGTTGAAAAATTGTATTCGTAATTAGAAAACGGTTCCTCACATGAATTGTAGCGATGTTACCAGACTGCAGTTTAATGCAAAATGGACATGACCAACGTATGTCTACACTAATACAGAATACCAAATGCCAAATAACAATATGTGTGATTGGACATGCATGATTTCGTGTTTGCCAAAAGTGAAAGACGATCGCGAAAATGTGAAAACAGTCGATGATTTCGTTAGATATCGCTTACCCCGAACTTTTCAAATATCATTATTGATCTGATCCTGTTCCGACAAATCGAAATGTTGAAACACGTACAGCTTTAAGCAACGTTAATACAATGTGATTAATCGGGCTGATTTAAAAAGGCTCGCTATAACAATAACTAGCAAATATGACTATACGTATAAGCATTATCTGACGATGTCATCAGCCGAACAGCAAGTCGTTACAACGATATTCAATATATGAGGATGAAATTAAAAATGAAGATAGGATTCGATCATATTCGTAAAAATTTGAGGTAAAGAAAAGCCCAAAACACAACCGAGCTTTAATTTGTTATAAATAAGTCAGAGCTCAGAATTAAAAAACGCGCGAAATTCATTTGTTTCTCATTGGTTAATTTCAACGTTTATCTCATTGGTTGCCACAAACGCACGTGTCCATACACGGATCACATACACGCCTCACATGCACGCCTCTTTCCTTTTCCACTTGATCTTATAAGGTACGTAATTTTTAACGTTTAATTTACTTATATTGAGTGCAAATATTCTCAATTAACATGTAACAGATTCTTTCTCTTAATTTATCTTAGCATACAGATCTAACAAATTCGTAAATATATTAGAAAGACACAAATTGTACGTAGTATTTTCAACATGGCATTAAACAAGCCCCCCAAGTTCAATCAACAAATTCAGCCATCTCCCAACACCATTAAACAACTCACAAGTTCACTCAACAAATCCAGGCACCTCCCAACACCACAAAAGAACCCTCAAGTTCAATCACCAAATGCAGCCACCTCTCAACAGTACAAAACAGCCCTCAAGTTCAATCAACAAATCCAGGATCCTCCCAACACTACCAAACTACCCTCAAGTTCAATCAACAATCCAGCCTCTTCCCAACACTACCAAACAACCCTAAATGTCAGTCAACAAATCCAGCCTCCTCCCAACACTACCAAATAACCCTCAAGTTCAATCAACAAATCCAGCCTCCTCCCAATGCTACCAAATAACCCTCAAGTTCAATCAACAAATCCAGCCTCCTCCCAACACTACAAACAACCCTCAAGTTCAATCAACAAATCCAGGCACCTCCCAACACCACAAAACCACCCTCAAGCTCAATCAACAAATCCAACCAACCCTCAAGTTCAATCAACAAATACAGCCTCCTCCCAACACTACCAAACAACCTTCAAGTTCAATCAACAAATCCAGCCTCCTCCCAACACTACAAACAACCCTCAGGTTCAATCAACAAATCCAGCCTCTTCCCAACACTACCGAACAACCCTCAAGTTCAATCAACAAATCCAGCCTCTTTCCAACACTACCAAACAACCTTCAAGTTCAATCAACAAATCCAGCCTCTTTCCAACACTACAAAACAACCCCAAGTTCAATCAACAAATCCAGCCTCTTTCCAACACTGCCAAACAACCTTCAAGTTCAATCAACAAATCCCAAACAACCCTCAAGTTCAATCAACAAACCCAGCCTCCTCCCAACACTAGCAAACAACCTTCAAGTTCAATCAACAAATCCATCCTCTTTCCAACACTACCAAACAACCCTCAAGTTCAATCAACAAATCCAGCCTCCTCCCAACACTAGCAAACAACCTTCAAGTTCAATCAACAAATCCATCCTCTTCCCAAGATCATTAAACAACTCACAAGTTCAATCAACGAATCCGGCATCTCCCAACACCATTAAACAACTGATAAGTTCAATCAACAAATCCAGGCACCTCCCAACACTATTAAACAACCCCTCCCACGTTCAATCAACAAGTCCAAGCTACCAAGTTTTGCATGGTCATCCGTACTTAACAGCTAGTGCACTCTAATATGTGATCAGGCAAAATCAAATGCAAACGGTCACCCGTAGAAATGTGGTGCATGTTTGGCAATAGACCATGAATTATTTTAGTTATATTTACTTCTTCGAGGCAGCGCTCCCATGCGATAGTAATTACTATAGTTATACTCTTAAAATGTTTTGCTAGCACAAACCATACGCATTTATTTTGTGATAGAAATGGAGAAGATTTTGAAAGTAGCATGGAAAGTTACTCTTTTGGCAACATTTCTTGGGACTTCAATTGATGAACTGCGGAAGAGACAACTGGAGGTGAGTCACTTAAAATTAATAACTGAGACATTATATACATCTGCAACGGCTCAGTCGTCTAATATTATATTTCATAAAGCAATGTGAACAAAATGGAATATCCTTACAAGCTTCATGATATTGTTTTGGAAAGCACAGATTATGAAAATTGAAATCATCAGATTTCATCCAAGAGGAATCATCAAAACTCACTCGTGCATGTTTTTTCCAAATTACATTTGAAACCATATACTATTACCTAATTGTTTAGAGTGGGTACAGTACTTTTAACAGAAAATATTCCTGGCTCTAGCAATTTCCAATTTCCCTATTGTTCGAGTCACAGATAATTAACTTTCCTAAAACATTGCTATTGGTTAGTTGAGCAAAAATACAATACGCACGGACCAGATTTATGAATAAACGTTGACCAAAATAGATAACGAGTTATGTTGTTACTCTAATGCGTTTCACAGCCATCTTCCCTTCGATAGGCCATGGTTAAATCACGCCCATAATCTGTGCTTCCCAAAACAGTGTCACTCCGTCATATTATTCCATGGAACTACATATACACAGATCGTACATGATTATACATGATTTACTTTCTCTCTAATTTTATAGAATGAAAAAAAGAAATCTGAGATGCGTCAGTTAATACTAAATGAAATACGTGATATAAAAGAAAATGGAATACTGACCAAAGTGGAATGTGAAGAAAGGAAAAGACAGTTATTGTCAAAATACGATGATAACTTTTAAATGGTAGTTTATGAAGCGGCTGCTTTAAAAAAAAAATAATGATATTTGGTCATAAAATTGATTTTAAACGAGTTGTGTAACGAACAACGATTTTGAAACGAACTATAAAAGCACATTATCTCTTGATGGCGAATGAACGATTAAATAATTGATATGACAGTGTGTACATTATAATCCAATTTATTCATTAGGGTTAGGTGTAATTATCCTAATACTTTATCCATTTAAATTACTTGTAGTTAGGATTTACAGACGAACAGCCACTTTGTAGAAGTTTTGTAATAAATTATTATTATTACCTTAAAGTTTATGTAAATCAGCATGATTGGGTATCGGATATACAAACTCTTTCAATTGCAAAGTCATGATTTAATTCTTTTGGGTTTTCTTCATGAATTATTAATGAGTTTCACAATTATTATTTATAGACAGACATCCGGTACCACTAAATATAAGCAGAACATGGTTGCATTCTATGCATTGGTTTACCCATGCCATGCAAGGAACCATAGAACTACATAACCATTTAACTATATAGAACCATATAATTATAAAACCGTAAAACCATAGAACTATCACGGGAAAAAATAAATTTCCATCAATGGATTTTTTAATGTAAAAACTGAACTCTTACCGCCATTATTGGTTATTACAGATTTCCCGTATGGTAAATTGGTAAAAACCACCATGTTTAATATTTAGTAGAAAAATACCATTAATGGTAAATATTAGACATCATTGTTTTTACCAATTTACCGTATGGGAAATCTATAATAACCAACAATAATTTTCACATGGATAGTGTACGTAAATATGGTAAATCTGTTGTAAAACCCATTCAAAACCCATGATGGAAATTTTAAATTTTTTCCTGCGTATATATACACGGTAGATTAATACACCTTTCTCATAATAACTACTTTTAGTCAATTCCAGCCACTGTGAACGAACTTTAATTTGATTACAAGTCTACTGTATTGAAGCAACATTCTTTATCAGACTATGACACTAAATTGACTGACCCGGCCAATGGGAAAGGAAATAAAACAAATATTTTTTTAAGAATAAATAATATTTGGCAATAACTACATTCGGTTACCACAAAGAAACATGAAATTTTACTGCGAAATATTGACGTTATGTGTAACTGCATACATGCATTGCTATTTAAGATAGCTGGCACTCCAATATACAGCAGGCGTAGTGCAAGTTGGTATGGTTAGGATTAGCATTTACAGACTGAAGTTTTATTTCTTTTGACTTATAATGTCGATAACTTTCTATTTTTTCTGCTCACAACAAAAATTTTCTGGATGGCCTAATATAACTCACTTTTCATTATTTTGCCGTGGCTAAACTTTAGTTCAATTAGATTAAGACTTTCACGGCATTTTTTTCATCTCCAACAAGTGTAGAATATATTCTACCAATCTTGCAGAACGGATTTAGTAAGAACCCCATCAGCAACCAAACCTGATCCAAACAATAACCAAACACTAATCCTTGATCTTATACCACAATCTAACAGACCTAATCCTAATCTAAATCAAACCCTAGTCAAATCTTAATCCAAACAGTAGACCTATCTAGAACTGCTCTGAATTTTATGACACCATGGGATTAAATTAAAAAATCGCATTTCAAAAACTCCACAGGAAGACTTCACAATTGTGCTATAATTATAAGAAGGTATATGAAAACAAAGACAAGCCAAAATACAAGCGAATCTATCGCTGAAGGTTGTTTGGATGCCAAATGTCTGATGAACGAACGAACGAAGAAAGAACCAAGAGAACAAAATATTTATTGGATTGAGTGTGTATAAAGAAGAATAATACAGTCACTGAAACGAATGATGAGTTAGAGTATGACCCTGGGTTAAATTCATAGATCATAACCAGAAATGGCCAAACGCACAATCGGAATGTTTGGAATCATATTATATGGAGTCATTTTGGCAATCGTCGAAGAGTGTTGAAAAACTGTATTCGTAATTAGAAAACGGTTCCCCACATGAATTGTAGCGATGTTACCAGACTGCAGTTTAATGCCAAATGGACATGACCAACGTATGTCTACACTAATACAGAATATGAAATGCCAAGATATTTTTACGGAAGCTTCTCACAAATAACAATATGTGTGATTGGACATGCATGATTTCGCGTTTGCCAAAAGTGAAAGATGATCGCGAATGTGAAAACAACCGATGATCTCGTCAGATAACGCTTACCACGAACTTTTCAAATAATATCATTAACGATCTGATCCTGTTCCGACAAATCGAAATGTTGAAACACGTACAGCTTTAAGCAACGTTAATACAATGCGATTAATCGGGATGATTTTAGGCTCGTTATAACAATAATTAGCAAATATGACTATACGTTTAAGCATTATCTGACGATGTCATCAGCCGAACAGCAAGTCGTTACAACGGTATTCAATATATGAGGGTGAAATTTAAAAGGAAGATAGGATTCGATCATATTGGTAAAAATTTGAGGTTAAGAAAAGCCCAAAAACACAACCGAGCTTTAATTTGTTATAAATAAGTCAGAGCTTAGAATTAAAAAACGCGCGAAATTCATTTGTTTCTCATTGGTTCATTTCAACGTTTATCTCATTGGTTGTCACGAACGCACGTGTCCATGCAGCCATCACATGAACTCCTCTTTCCTTTTTCACTTGATCTTATAAGGTACGTCATTTTTAACGTTTAATTTACTTATATTGAGCGCAAATATTCTCAATTAACATGTAACAGATTCTTTCTCTTAATTTATCTTAGCATACAGATCTAACAAATTCGTAAAATATTTTACGAGACACAAATTGTATGTAGTATTTTCAACATGGCGGCGTATACAACTTCATATATTATTAACTCCGCCATTTTTGGGGTACTGTCTGCCCTCGTGAAAGATTCTAGAAAATTCGTGAAAGGCGACTTTTAAAAGTTGTACCTGTAAATTTACCATTATACACACAACTACAATAATAAGAAGTTGTATTTCGTGGAGCGGAAACTTTCAAACGTGGGACTACCAGTACCCAAAAATGGCGGAAAATCGGCCAAGAGAAAGAATAGAGGCAAACCAAACATCCTCTCACCATAATTAAACACCTCCCAAGATCAATCAACAAATCCAGCATCCTCCCAACACTATCAACCAACTCTCAAATTCGATCAACAAATCCAGCCATCTACCTATACAACTAAAAAAAACAAAGTTCAATCAATAAATCCAGCCACCTCCCAACACCATTAAACAAATCTCAAGTTTAATCAACAAATCCAGGCACCTCCCAACACCACTAAACAACCCCCAAGTTCATTCAACAAATCCAGCTGCCTCCCAACACCACTAAACAACTCACAAGTTCAATCAACAAATCCAGCCACCTCCCAACACCACAAAAGAACCCTCAAGTTCAATCAACAAATGCAGCCACCTCCCAACACTACAAAACAGCCCTCAAGTTCAATCAACAAATCCAGCCACCTCCCAACACTACAAAACAACCCCCAAGTTCAGTCAACAAATCCAGCCTCCTCCCAACACCATTAAACAAACTCACAAGTTCAATGAACAAATCCAGGCTACTCCCAACACTACCAAACAACCCCCAGTTCAATCAACAAATCCAGCCTCCTCCCAACACTACCAAACAACCCTCAAGTTCAGTCAACAAATCCAGCGACCTCCAAACACCACAAAACAACCCCCAAGTTCAATCAACAAATCCAGCTTCCTCCCAACACCACAAAACAACCCCAAGGTCAAACAACAAATCCAGCCTCCTCCAAACACCACAAAACAACCCCCAAGTTCAATCAACAAATCCAGCCTCCTCCCAACATCACAAAACAACCGCAAGTTCAATGAACAAATCCAGCCTCCTCCCAACACCATTAAACAAACTCACAAGTTCAATGAACAAATCCAGGCTACTCCCAACACCATTAAACAACCCCCAAGTTCAATCAACAAATCCAGCCTCCTCCCAACACCATTAAACAAACTCACAAGTTCAATGAACAAATCCAGGCTACACCCAACACCATTAAACAACCCCCAAGTTCAATCAACAAATCCAGCCTCCTCCCAACACCATTAAACAAACTCACAAGTTCAATGAACAAATCCAGGCTACTCCCAACACCATTAAACAACCCCCAAGTTCAATCAACAAATCCAGCCTCTTCCCAACTCCATTAAACAACTCACAAATTCAATCAACAAATCTAGGCACCTCCCAACACCATTAAACAACCCCCCCCAGTTCGATCAACAAATCCAGCATCCTCCCAACACTACCAAACAACCCTCAAGTTCAGTCAACAAATCCAGCCTCCTCCCAACATCTCAAAACAACCACAAGTTCAAACAACAAATCCAGCCTCCTCCCAACACCATTAAACAAACTCACAAGTTCAATGAACAAATCCAGGCTACTCCCAACACCATTAAACAACCCCCAAGTTCCCC